GTGATATATTTTGTGCTATATTTCCATTAGAACAGATCCAATCACGGATGCATAACTTTCAGCACCCCAGAAAATGAACACTGGCTTGGGGAGATAATAATGAGTGGAATGCTGCTTGACTTGGTGCCATCTACAGGTCAGAGTGGGTAATACGCGCATATTTTCCCTATGTATATCTTGAGATAAGTATCCTGAAAAAATATCTCGAGATAATTAATTAATTTGAGAATAAATATCCCAGGTCATTTCGCAGACTGTAGTCTTTACCCATTTTTTCCCCATGTCCTTTTGGGGGCCTCACAGTATCAGGCACTAGGGTTGTGTTTGTGCTTTTACACATTTTAGTGACTTTTCCCCCACTGCTCTAACACCCACGAAGTGATGAATTTGAGTCAGGTGTTTTAGAGGAGAGGCAGTGATAAACTTTACTTCATGTACTCCAAATGGAACTGCACTGAGAACCCACTTCAACAGAGATCACCCTTCATTTCCAAAACTGGGGTTCAGAAAGTCATTAAAAGATATGGGGATTCCTAACAACCATGTAGGACCTGGTAGACCATCAAAACTCATCATCAGATAAACAGTACTTGAAGCTTACATCTTTGAAAGAGAAAAAAATCAGGCTCCACTCTTGTTTCAGATCTGTAAAAATCCACACGATTTTCTGTCCATCCTTCCACTGTGAGGAGGTAATTCAATGCTAAAAGTCTGAAATGATGTGTACCTGTCAGGAAGCCGTTACTGAGAAAAGTACAAACCAAATAAAAAAACTGCTGGTGTTCTCAAAACAATGGACTGACCACCACAGAGTCCAGACCTCAACATCACTTAATGTGTTTGGGATTACTTGGATCATGAGAATCAGAAAATGCCACCAACTTCTAAAACTGAACTTTGGAGGTGCGAAGAAATTATTTCTGCGGATTTCTCTGAAAAGCTGAAAGCTAGTCTTCTGAAAAGGATGGAAACTGGTATTAAGGCAAAGTTGGGACACACCAAATGCTGATGATGTGTATTTTTCTGTTAAATATGTTTACCGTTTTTTTTCAAACACTGAAAAAAACATTAACTTGTACTTAATGACCGTTTTGCCTGGAAATTAAACAAATGATGGCTAGTCTCTGACTTTGGCACTGTACCTTTCATATACAGTGCCCTCCAAAAAGATCTGGACACTTTAACCTTTTAATTATCGTTTTTTAGGTTACTTCATAAAATGATTAACAAAATTATATTTGTTTCAGAGAAACATGATGGTAGACTCTTTGTGTGGAGAAAGCCTGGAGAACTCCAACCAGATTGAACTAAGGCTACTGTTAAGTACAGAGGTGGAAATATCGAAGTCTGGGGGCTTAGCTTACAATGACGTTGTGAGCTTCTGTTCATTGATGGGATGATGAACTCAGAAGTGAATGAAGGCATTTTGGATGCAAACCTGTAGAAGTCTGCAAAGAAATAAATAGAAATCAATAATAATCTGAAACACAGCGGCCACCTTTTAAAAGAATACCTTTTTAAATGTGGCACAAACGTTCAGATACTTTTGGGGCCATTGTAGACGCAGTTTGTAGGTTTCCAGTCATCATAGTGCTTTTGCTGCTGCACAATTTATCAGCTCCACTCCTATCAATCATTGAAAAGGGACCACAGTAGGACCACTGCTGACCAGATATTATTTCTCAGCATAGCAGTCACGCTGGTATGGGAGAGGCATGGTAGAATATGTAGCATTGGCACAGGTATTTTAGGTAGAGCATTGCTCTTGGAGTTTTAATGCTGTGCAAACTTACTTATCAGAGACTCTAGCTCATCTATTTCCATGCACATTTTGTGTTAGATTTTCTCTTTATTAAAGTTCGGTGTCTGACCGCAGGACCACAGCAGCACTACACCATCTCATACCTGCATAATACACAACAACATGCCACCACCATATCATTGTCACTGCTGTGCTGAGATTCAGATGCCACCCAAATAATATCTGGTCCTATGGTGGTCTCTTTCCATTAATAGATGGATGGGGGGACTGATAAATATTGCAGCAATAGATGGGCTACAGTCAGTTACAGTAAACATACAAAGTAGGTATGTAATAGTGCACAAAATTCAGTTCATTACGATACAGTGATGTAATGCATTTTTCAACACGGCTGAAATAAGGAGTGCCTGAATATGTATTCATATAGTGTTTATGTTAGTATGTTAATGTTTGTAGCACAGCTTACATGTATGCGCACAAGGGCTATAACAATGTGTAGTTACAGTTTTGATAGGATGTTTAAATCTGTGCTCAAGACTCTGTTCAATTTCTGATATTTCGTGTGGAAAAAATGTCTATAAACTACCCACATTGTTCTCAAACAGAACTTTTTCAATGCCTCTCCTCTAACAAAGTAAACAACCCCTAGAATGTTTTATTGATTTATAAAAGCCCAGTCATTTGAGTATGGGTGTGTGCATAACTTAAGCCCTTTCCCTTCCTGCCCATTTTACTCTGATAGGCTGCACCCAGGTGCTTAGTTTTGATCACTGAAAGTGTTTGCCTGAAAGACAGTAAATGAGAGACACTCAGAAGGGACACTTCAGGCGTATCAGCGATGAAGATTTAAATTTCAGTTGGAAACAATACAATCATCAACTGGAATTGTGCACAAGTACTACAAAGTGCATCTCTATGGTAGGTGTATCTGAAAAAATGGCCAGTGACTCTAGGTACAAGGTAGGTGTACCTAATACACGGTTAAACTGGCAATTCAGTGTTGATTAACGTGTGTCAAGCCTGTGATGGGGTAAATTATTGACCAGGTTGCCCTGTTTGCTCTTTTTTCATTTTCACATGACTTAAATAATGCAGGCTAAATCATTAAATCATTGGCCAGCTAGGCCTACAGTAATAAACCAACAGCCCCATTCGTTGTACTTGACTTAACTGATAGTGTATGTCACGACTCTGATAGGGTAAATCATTGGCTAAGCATACAATAAACTAGTGGCCTACCCCATGCCCCATTTCCACACTTTTCTAGCCAATAACAAAACTCAAACGGTACTTTTCAAACTATTACAAATGTCCTGGGTTTGTTTACAAGCCTGTTAAATTTTTTCCATGTCTGTAAAGCTACATATATAATTTAAAAACACAAGTGAAAAACACGCACAAAGAGACAAAATCCCCCTGAGATAGAATAGATTTATTAGCAAGAGGTAATCAGGAAACATACAATTGATTTTCTCCTTTTTTTTCCCTTTTTCTTTTTTTACAAAACTGGAAATATTTCTCAAGCCGTGGAAATAAACTTAAGGGTTGAAAGATAATTCTCATACCACTGGGTATTGCTAACAGCAAAACGTTTGTTTGTTTGTTTATATATCATTTATAAGAGTATGTGCACGTAGATGTGTATACAGTATGTATATATAGATCTATATATAATATGTCCTTTTTAAAGTTTCTGGTTGATACAGTGTTGCATGCCTGCCATTTGAGCATTTAGTGTGTTTCTAGACTGTACATAGTAAAAATACATACAAATATTCACAGAATAAGCACTACATTACTATATTCCTGCTAAGAGAATGATTATAGACAGGATTACAGTATATGCAAAACACTTTAAAGTCCTCTACCTCTAGATCATGGTTTCAAAATCACAAATCGCTTAGCATTGAGTGTGCAAGCTTAGGATACAACGCTTCAAAGAGGTGTGCTTTACACTAGTACACGTTAAGAAATATGTGGGGCTGCATGTACAAAATATACAGAATACGTTTCTGTGTGGTGAATTTGTACAAAATACGTTTCTATGTTTTTGTTTATTCTTTTTTTTCTTTATTTTTTGTTCTTTTTCTGGCAAGGATGCAGAATCCTATTTTCTTTATTCTAGGGCTACAAAAATACCTTTTTTGTCGTATTTCGCAGGCGGAGAGACTCATTCACTTGTTCTGATCATACTCTTAAACGACAATGCATTTTACAAAGTGATATACAGTCACGTTCCACAATCACTGGAACAGCAAGAAGGACATAGATTGTCTGTTAATATACAATAGCTGGATATTCTGGCGTGGGCAGATGTTGTTGGCCCCAGAGTACACTTTCTTTTTATCTTTTTTTTTTGAGCCATCTCTCTTATTTTTCAAATGCAGAGGTTGTGAATGACAAACAGGGCAGGTTGTCTTTTTTGTCGTTATACATTTTCTAAAAATATAATCTTATCTAATGCAGTATATAGTGCACTGTTGAAAACGCTGACTCTTGAATGAGGGACCTTTTGGTGTTTTTGTAAAAGGAACTGTTCCTCAAAAATCGAAGTTTTCAAGAGGTGAAAAAGGTTATATAATGACATATTTGGCATGCAACAATGGGTCAATAACCTTAACCAATGAGAGATTCATTAGTTTCTCTAATGCCAGCAGAATGTACACTTCATCATCATCTTCATCATCAAATCATGCCTAAATGTTTCAGACGTTAAACGCACCACGTCAGATTGTGCCATGGCAATCCAAAGTGGTGGCAATATGTCACAATCACATACCTGTACATCCAAACAATAAAACCTGTATACTGGCATCAATTTACGTAAGTATGGTGACACTGACCTTGGAATACACCTATTATAACCAATAATGCTTGCTTGTATACAATAGTATAGTTTCTCATTGCTACATGGTATGCATATAGATTAGTTCCATGCATCTATTAAAATTTGGTCAAAGTATCTCTGTCAGCACTGTGTTTTTCTTCACACAGAAGGTAAAATCCATCACATTAAATTCCGACCACAGAGACAACCAAACATGATTCAGCAGTGAGACCCTGGGACAGAGTAACATTTAAATGAATACTGTTTTGTGCACATATATATATATATATTATATATATATATATATATATATATATATATATATATATATATATGTGGTGTTGGTGCGTGGAAAACCACTGTTATAAAGGGAAACACCTTGATATCTACAACAGGAGAAATGCAAATGAATATATTTTCAACTCCTCTGTTAATTTTGGAAATGTTTAGGTGCTTTGTTAACGACTAAAAACAAAGTTTCAGATACAGAAGTAATATTATGTAGTACATAACCTAAGACATGGTACTGTGTATGAATACATGATAGAAAGGCTGTACATTGTGTAGACCTTAAAGAAAAAGCCTTCTTCTCAGTTGGGCACTTTAGGCTCAATTCTGAGTGAGGCCTCATACATGCTTTCTTCATCCAATACATTGCTACTGTCCAGCAAATACTGGGCTGCCTAGAAAAGATGACAAAAAAAGAAACAACATTAAGTTTTAGTTGAAATTGACATTTTATTCGACTTCTTAACCCTTACAAGTTGCAGATATTGCTGGCAATAACAAAAGCACAGTTATCAGTTGTAAACTTTCACATTTCGAATGTAAGTAAGCAGAAAAGATATTTTATTATGACATCATTTTATTTATTATCCCATACATTCTTACCACATTTTTGTCTTGTCTGATATCAGAAAAAAGTCTAGACTAGGATCTGTTAATAAACAATGTAAATGCAATTCATTGCATGACTCACTATGTAATTAATTGTATAGTCATATAATCACATTTTAATACTATAGCAAGACAAAAGTAATGAACCTTGTCTTCCAAGAGTTGAAACCTTCCAGAAGAGTATTTTTTCCAGCAGATGGCAACAGTGAGCAATTGTTGAAGTACAGGATTTTCTAAAAACTTTGCTTAGGGCTTTTTGCGTTATCAAATACACAATTAAGTACAAAGTAAGTACAGGATTGAGTTCCCCCCCACCCCAGTGAAATCTAAAGTGTAACTTTAAAACAATTTTAATTTGCACATATTGTATTTTATTTGGACAGGTCCATGTAGTCCACGAAAATGTAAAATGGATGCTAAAAATACAGAATATAATTAAACACTAAATGTGCTTCACATCAAAGATTACTTGAAAGATTTAGGACTAATAAATAATATAATAATAGTATAATAATAATATAATACCCCACACTGTAAAAAAGATTTGTAGTAACCAGGCTGCCTAATTGAACTTCTAATAGTACAGAAAAGAACAGCAATCTGTTTTACGTCCTGTTAGCATATTATTTGAAATTCAAATAACTTAAAATCAGAAAATACCATGCAAGTTTCTCAAAGAATTTCAACATTCAGTCATCTAAAAAAAAGAGATAATATTTCATACCTTTGGCTGATGATCAATCTTGTACGCTGTTTGCTGAAACTGCCTAATTTCTCTGATGATGTGGGAGATCTATAAATTGACAAAAATATGCTGTGTTGTAACTTCAGTTGTACATTGTAAGGCTATTTAAGTGAAAAAAGAAGAAGGCAACTGAGCAAATCATTCTCTATGTCAATAATGCAGTGACTCGAAAACAAAATTAACATTATTTAGTTAAATTGTCCACACATACTAAGTCCTGTAGTGATTCCGCTTTAACATCAACCTGAAACCAAAATGGACCGTTTTTACCTTGTTAATTCATGTATTTGGTCATATTAAGCTCAATCCAGTGTTGTTTCTCTGTAATCTATAATCGAAGTATAGAGACTTTTGCCCACCTCTCAGTGTAGGCTAATGTTTGGTTGTGTCACTGTGTTTCATCGAGTGGGAAACACTATACTAACCAATAATATCTTAGCATATTTTCCTTCTCCATCCCACCACCTTGACCTATTATTGAGTGAGAGCACCTGTCATCACCTCCACTCCCGGTTGCACATATGTGTATACTGCAGACAATCCCCTTTCTTCTCACATTCTATCACTTTCGGTTTTTAGACCAGTTGTAAACTAATAACTTATTATACTTATATAACAAGTTATTTCAGTTCATTTACACTGGTAACCTGAGTTCATGTTTACAAGAGTAAGTGAGTTAAAATATCTGGCAGCGTTTGCTCTGTTTTCTAAAGTTTCAAGGCTGTGAGGATGTGAGACAGTTCGGCTGATGACGGAGTGGCGTGTACACACACACACACACACACACACACACACATACACAGTCCATCTTTTCCTCACACGTTACACTCGTATATGGATTTATTTTAATGATAATCTGTCTTATTTTTTTCTGAAGTCCTTTTCTCTCGCTTTTGCTGTGAAAGTGTGAAGGCGTAAGAAAAGCAAAAGCAATGCACTGTGTACATCTTAAAAAGTAAAAAAAACAACAACAAAATATAATTTAAAAAAGTATTCAACAAATAATGAATCAAGTCTCAGAAAATACACATCAAATATTGAGGTACTTTATTTTTTGACTAAATATGTTTATATATATATTTTTTTTGGCTTTTCTGCAAAACAGGCCGATACTGCTGACTGTCAATGTCTGACTCCAAGTTAGTTACAGAATGCCTGCTTCTCATGTTCCAGTCAAATCCTAAAGAGAATAAACTCATGTCCACTATTATTTCCCGCTCAGATTTCCTGTTTCACTTTTGAAATACGTCACAATAAGTATGAAAATGTGTTCTGATTTCTGATTCTGATTTAAATTTACTGTCATTTAAGAATTCTGAAGGTAATAATTATTTACTGGTACTAATTTTAGCTTTAAACCTTTGATCAAAACTGAATTTTTGTTGCACTGTTTTAAAGCAACCTTCAAGCTCCACATGCTTTCATAAGTTTCATTAATAGTCCAGTGACTGCTGTGCTCACCAGTAAAGCAAAACTGAATGGCCTGTTTAACCACACAAAACACCTCAAATGGTCAAAGAATAGTTAAAAGTGGTTTCTAAATTCAGTCACTTAGAAATTACACAAGGGACTTTTTTCTGAAAAAAAAAGAACACCCCTTAATGAAATACGGTTTGTTGATTCTCTAAGTTAAAATAAGTTTACAGGGAACAAAGCCCACAGGGAACAAATTTAAAATGGCATTTTTCTGCAAATTGAAGTGCACGATTTCTATTTATTTGCTCAGTTGAACATATTGGAAAGAATAAAACCTAAAATATTAAACGTACAACTTTTGCACAGTTTTATTTTTTCTTCCAATGTATTAAATTCAACAAATAAACAGCAATTGTGCATTGAAATAAGCAGAAGCGTGTTCTCTGTAGAGGATGTGTTAACTTCCACTTAGAAAATCAACAAAAATGGTAATTTGACCAGAGGTGCTCAAACTATTACATGCAACTGTGTGTTTTACCACTTCAAATTCATTGGATAACGTGGAGGAAGAATGGTTCTAAAAAAGCCTTACTTTGTTGGAACTATTTTTCAGATTTGCACTTGCAATTTTGGGTTACAGAAATGTATATTCATTATTCTAAACAGTTTCTAAAGCTTAGATAGATAATGGACCTTTGCTTACCATTCTCATCTTAGAGAAGTTAACAAGGTTGTCCTCTGTGTAGTTTGGTGTCCCCTCCTCAATGAACGCCAGGTCTGTGAGGTACATCCCCAAGTACGGCACGCAGGGAGGGTCACAACTAGTGGACACATTTGCACCCATCAGATAATGTTCAATCATTTTCACTCATATACACAACATTGTAACCGAAAAGTAATGTTTGATTCAAATAACTGACAGGACGGCAGATAAACAGCACAACAAAGAATGTTGAAAGTATTAAGTTAAATCCAGTTTACTTTTTCAAAGCTTCTCGTAGGTTCTTGAATCTTCCCTCAGATGAGACCAGCTTCTGAAGCTTGTCAATGACGGTTTTGGTCTAAAGAATAAATAAAGACCAAATACACTTACAAGATATCACTTTAAACCTTTATACTTTCATTTTAGAAATTCTATTAAAAAAGTATATATAGAAGCGCCTGTATGCCTGTAACAAGAAGTCACACATTACTGAAACCAGAATTGGCACAACCCTCAATCCATAGTTAGTACAGCTACACAAACTTAAAGGCCCATATCTTATTTTTTCATGTATGTCAGTTTAGTTAGTTAGTTAGTTTTACATTAGAAGTTGCATTTTCTGCTTTTCATGATCCAAGTTACCCCAAACACATTCAGTGATGTTGAGGTCTGGAATGGCTTCCTGACAGCTACACATCCTTTCAGATCAATGGCACTGAGTTGTTTTCTCACAGTGGAGGATGAACAGAATTTTTTCAGATCTGAAGCAAGAGTGGAGCTTGATTTTCTCCTGAAAGCTCTACGTACTGTTTATCTGATGGGGTCAGCGCTGGTGGTCCACCAGGCCTTGCTCTGTTGTCAGGAGTCCCATTTTCTCTAAATCTAAACTCTGTTTTTCACTTATTTTCTCTTTTCACGTTTCATTTCATTGTGCAAGTTGATTGTCCTATATCTCATCTCCTCAAAAACAGCTCCTGATAAATTAATAACTTACTTAAATGTGTAAAGAATGAATAAAGTACTTAATAGCCATTTTGACTGGAGGCTAAACAAACAAACGGTGGTTTCTGACTTTTGCATAATGCTGCCCTTCTGAGCATTCTCAGTAACCCACACAACAATGCATGCATTCTCATACAGTGTGCACATAAAGGAACCTCATGCATGTGTTCTACAGGGCGGAGCTTAACAGACTGACAGTGCTTCTCCTTCCTACCTGTTTGGAGACTTTGAGCCAGGTCTTCTTGAGGCGGAAGATGGCGCTGCGGTTGAGGGAGGAGGTGATCTCCAGTACAGCGTTGTAGTTATGGAGACAGCGGCAGATATCAGCAACTGCCACCCACTTCTCCATCACCGCCACCCGCGTGTTCACATCGTCGCAGCGCAGGATCTCTGATGCAATCAAGTTGCTTATCTTTTGAAGGGAAACAGCTGGGTTAGTTTGAGTAAGAGAACTTTAACTTCTTCAATGCAAGGCAGTTCCTCATTCTTATAACTGCATGGCTTACACATTAGTTTCATACTATTTAACTAACTGTGTGTAATACTATGTGAATTACAAGTCTTAAGTTGTAATTTTAACTGAATAATGAAGACCCAGTTAAAGGGCCTATCCACTCACAGTAAAAGCAAAATAATGTTTTTTTCAAGTTAAAGTTTAATAGAAAGAAATGTGTATAAATCAGTTTGAAAATTTTGATATTGGTCTAAGACAGTGTTTAGCAATCTCCCTTTCTGCACTGCACATTTGAGTGCGTTCTCAGCTCTTCAACAAATTAACAAGCTATGTATTAGTTTAACTCCTTATTACAGGGCTATTAAGGCTTACTATTCAGTAACTACAGGCACTTCAGTGCAAACTGGTTGAGCTATTCTTAGATTATAGAAGTGTGTTATAAAACTTTGGGCCCGCTGACAGGCCCTGGTCATATAAGGGGTTAAAATGCATGTGTCAGTGCAGAGAAAACAGCAAAATGTGCAATGCTGGGAAACTCCAGCAACAGGGCTGCGAAACGGTGTATTAGACCTGCTGTGAAAGGCAACGTCATAATAGATACATACGTCATTGAAATGCTTTGTTGTTTTCATGATGTAAGGTGTCTTTTCATTTTTGTCATTCTTCATCCAGCCTTGGCCAAAGAATTCCCTGGAAATGGTGGAGAGAACTTTCAGAAAACAGTCTGGGACCCAACACTGCTGTCCTTTCTACACTGTCAAGCAATGCAATTCTTTCCATTTTTGACCATTTCATTATTAATTGTTTGTTATGAAATGTACTGTCAATACATTTATGCAAGCGTAGTCATAGTGCAAAATGTGCCTTGATATCACTACTAAATACTCTGACAATGCCTCTGAAATTAATATTCGATTTACTAAGACTGCACAAAAAAATGAAAGTAGCGTTTTCCCCACCAAGGGGTAACTCCAAATTTAGGAAACAATAACATGGACTGTGCTCGCATGTTGCAGCAACAACACGTCTTCTCACACATGTATATCTGATCTTTACTGTGTTGATGTGATGGTACATATTTTTATCTCGTGCTTCAATCAAGTCTCTATGCCTGCGGCCATTGTTAAAGGAAAATTCCACTGATTTTTCACAATTTCTGCATTGTTGAGATGCAAACAAAGTCATTTAGAGTGGTCTGGTGCGAAATGCTTCATTGTAGAGAAACTTACTGACTCAGATTTACAGTGGTGGTGATAGGAACCAGGGATTGTGATGTCTGCAATGCATAAATAGCTATTTTATTTACTATCCAAAACCACCAGTGAATCTACTCGAGTTTTTATATGTAATGTTGATGATGGTAAAATAGTGCTAAATATGAAAAATAAATGTTTCATTTGGATTATTTTGCCTTAAAACGTCATCAGGAACGCAAATGTAATTTATGTTAAATACGTTTCAGGGGAAAACCTTTTTGCAAATCTACTGTAAAACAATATCTAAGGCATCAAGAAGCATATTCATAACCATTTCATGTAAAAACGTTCTGTTTTAGAGGCATTAAACTCTAAACAGCTTGTGCCTATCACCACCACTGACTCCATAAGTTTCTCTAGAGTAGAGATTTCACGTCATACCACTCTGAATGACTTCATATTCATCTTAACACGCTAATCAAACTGATTTTTTTTTCAAAGACATCCAATTAGAACAGAGGTTATTAACAGATAGCAGTCTTAAAAGTACAGTATCAACACCTATTTAAATATATAAGATAAAGAGAGGTTGGAAATGGTCATACAAAAATAAATTACAATTGGTTTGGCACATAAACCCACACAAATGTTGTCTGTGGACTTTCAGGGGACAAAATACAGGACAAATATAGGATATGGGCTTTTAACTCTAATAGAGGTCCTTACAATACCTTCAAATCATTCAATGCTGAAAAATGTGTACTCACTCATATGGGATGACTTTGAATACCAGGTGGTCCAGGAGGGTGAGCTGCTCTGCAATCTCCAGAGCTGAGTGATTCTCAAAGGGCTCTGCTTTTCCACCCTCAGCCTGATACACACACACACACACACACACACACACACACACACACACACACACACTTTAGACATTAGCTATGATAATGTAAGTCATCTATTCCCACATAAATCCCATGGTATTACCAGTCTCGAGAAACTGCTCTGGAACACAGCTCCTAGCTGTGAGTGTGTATTACATGTTCAGTCTGAGTGTGTCTTCTGCTTAATTAGGTCTGAAATCTACTTAATTCAAAATGTGAAATAACTGCTGCTTTGAATGTGACCCAATATCGGCCCACTCACCATCTGCAGCACCTCCTCCAGAGTGATCTGATTGTCACCAGGGTCCTCCTGAGTGAGTGTCCTATCAGAAGAATTATGAACAGTCTTTACGCAGCCTAAGGGCTCAGAAATTGCTCTGCAATCAGCAACATTACAATTAGGGGAGTAATCTGGGGCTTGAGTAAATGGAGACTAATTGAAAAGGTTGATGATTCTGACGACTTGAAGTGCTTCTTAGATATGACTCTTCAATACAGCAGAGTGCGATTAAGGTCAGGTATATGTTAAGAATAAGATATATAACTGAACACCCCCAGTATAATGATGTTTTGTTGGTTTTCTAAGTGGAAGTAAGTTAACACATCCTCTACAGAGAACACATGTAAATATGGCCCAAATTTTTGCATACAGGTGTATATACACTGAACTGCTAGCTTATTAGTAACCCATATCTTGTACCTACACTGGCCCTGACACTCACACCAGTACTACACACACTGTCATGCCACTACCGTATGAGTGTCAATGCTGTGCTGAGAACGATCCACCACCCAAATAAGATCTGGTCAGTGGTGGTCCTATGGTGGTCCCATTGTTGGACAGCATAAAGGGGGGCTGATAAATTGTGCAGCACATGGGCTACAGTCATTAACTGACATTAACAAAGGGTACCTACATGGTACCTAATAAACTGCTGATTTTCTAAGTGAAAATAAGCTAACACTTAATTATGACATTTTTATGCAAATAGTGATGAGTTTAACATATTGACAAAAAAAATAAAACCTAAAATGTGCCATAACTTTTATGTTTTACTTTTTTACTAATATGTTAAATTTAGTAAATACACAGCAATCGTGTTCTCTATAGAGGATGTGATAACTTATTTTCACTTAGAAAATCAACAAAATGTAGTTTGACCGGGGGGCACAGATTTTTGCATATGACTGTATATCTTGCAAAAAACAGACAGCCATATATATAATCTGTATAATAATATGTACTTTGCATACGTGCCTATGTAGACTACACATGGGGTGGGGTGGGTTTGCAGTATTGCATCAAAATGTATTTCTGGTAAAACAATGTTAGCGAAAAGAATAGATTCCACTCTGTGATATTCGTACACTTTGGAAAAATTTTAATCTGTTTACGGTATCAGCAGATAGCACAGCTCAGAAATACAGCACTAAAAGGCTGAACAGGTTTGAACAGAAAACTTTGTGTTTTTTGTTGTTGTTTAGTAAGTAATTAAAAAAAATTGATTAGTGAAATATACACCAGAACATTTTAACGTCCAGTCAGCAGTACCAACTGGACAACCAAGCTGAAAACCGGACAGTCTGGGCAACCATAAGGAATATTTAGCTGATTTGTTCTCTAGGCAAGCTCTACCTTATGATGTTGGCCGCTGCTTTTCTTTCCTGGGTCAGCAGCTCGGGATCATGCATAACTTCCTCCAAGAAACTGATCACCTTCATTTTTAGCTCCATATTGGTCTCAAAGTCCTGTATGTGCAAACACAGACAGAGTGAGAGAAAAAGAGAGAGACAGTCAGAAAAGAGCAATAGAGAAAGAAGGCACAAATAGTTTTCAAGACAAAAGCAAGTGCAGACAATACAGCTTGTTTCAAACAGTCTACTTAAAATGTTTTCTGTTTGTTAAATGTGAGCGGATGGCACATGCTGTTTCACCTGCGAGTGCTTGGACACCCAGTGTCTCAGCACATTAAGAACTCGGTTAGTCGCTGCCCGGCGAATCACAAACTCCTTATCTCCGTTCCTCTGGTCTGTGGGAAACCCTGGGAACCAATCACAATTCATATTGACCATTTTCTGCCCAGCAACAAAGCTTCCCTGTACGGATTTATTATAAGTGCTGTGCTGATACCTGTGCTGGCCAGAGACATGCGGCGGTACTTCTCCTTGGTTGGTGTCCCCTCGTTGGCGCCGGCTGTGGCGATAGCGAAGGCAGAGGCTGCCGAGAGTGCGCTGCGATTGTTGTCAAGTTCTCGGCAGGATGACATCACCATGCCGTTATTGTAGGAGAACAGAGAGAACTCTACATAATGACAGAGCAAGAGGAATACTCACTTATTGTACAATGAGTGACGTGGGACCATTTGATTAACTTAAGACTTCAAATGATCTCTGTTTAATTGAAGTGAACATATTTATATTTAGAATTCAATCACCAAAGGCTTAGGAATAAAGAAGCTTTAATCAGGGCTGCACAATATGGGCAAATTATAATATGGTGATTCCATTGTTCCATCTCACAATTATGATATGCCCTGTACAGTACATTAAAAATGAAGGATACCAGCCAGATTTCAAATCTATATTGGATGATATACAGATGTATGCAAAAGGCTAAAAAAATTGTTTTGTTTCAAAATGTTTTCAAACTGAAAACAGGTTCACATCCCCTACAGATTTGCGCATTTTAACGCACAATTACAGTTTATTTTCAGAATGTAACATATTGGGGAAAAAAGCCTGTGCACAAGTTAAGGCATCTTTTGTATTTTCTCTTTTATCTTTTCCAATATGTTAAACTCAGCAAATAGACAGAAATTGTGTACTAAAATTTGCAGAAAAATGCCATTTTTACAGTTTGTTACCTGTAGAGGATGTGCTATTTTCACATAGAAAATCAACAAAACATGTAATTTGACCAAGAGTGTCCAAAATTTTGCATACAACTTCATTTAATGAAGAATGCAGAAGACTAGAATGTTTAAGTGATGCTGTGCTACTGTTAAAATGTCAGTATTTCATTCATTTTACTGTATTTATAACCCTCCATAATCCTCTATATGCTGATCCAGGTTATAGTCCCAAATTCTACATTTTATAAATGCTTATAATGTGTATCTGCATCGATAACAGCACATATGTGCATGAAAACGATCACATATCAGCCCACAGTTTCCATATTAGTGCATCCCTATTAATAATCCTCTGAGGCCTCTGAGGTTGGTCAGGATGCTCACAGCACACAAGACATAATTTTGTAATTGATAAGAGGGCTCATTTACATGAGCGTCACAGGTCAATATTACAGTAACAATTAACAATATACAGTGTGCAGCCCTAGTATTAATGTAATTCACACACAACCTTTATCAGCTACAGGATTAAATAGAATAGTGATAAATAATGATAATGAATTAACCAAAGACCACATCCTTTCCCTCTAATGAAAGCCCCAGTAACAATTTACTGTGCTTTAAAAGGAACAGCTTCCCCTTTAAAATACAGTAGGTGTCACATAAGACGTGCTCCGCTCAAGCAGAAATAATGGAGGCAGTGACATTATCACCGCAGTGGATGAGCCTTCAATGATGACCTATAAAAATGTCACAAATATCTACTGCAGCAAATGCTCCTTCAGCACCGGCCTCAAACCAGCTTAGCAGCAACGAGCAAGAAAGCAATTTGTGTTCTCTGTCTGGGGGAGAAAGAATGCTTTTACTTTCAGTGGGTTGATGTGATGTGGTTTGGTTAGAAATGCTCATTTTCTATCATGGGGAGGTTTGGCATGTTATTGCAGACTGTGGTTCGTCTTCTTCAGTGTGTGTCAGTGTCCAACAGGGGGCAGCATCACACACAAAATCGCTGACTGCGTCTCCGGCAAGACAATAGGCAGGGCTTTGATTTCCAAGATGGTCGAGACTAAAAATAGCCCGTAAAACAAAAATGCTTAGAGACTACAGAAAACAGGAGTCTCCAATGTCATGTCATATAAAAGAACATTCTGCTGTTGTTCGTTGTGAACAGCAAAAACTATGCAAGTTGATTTTATGCTGGTACGTCAACAAGGCTTAACAGTGACACTGCATCACATGTATGGAACATAGTGGTCTTCGTTGACCTCTGACCTTAAATTCAGATAGTAGATCTATGAGAGTGCAAAGACCCTACAGCATCGGCTGCACTCAAGCAAACCCCCGTAACCAGGGGCGGCAGAGAGAATACATGCTGATGGTTGCTATGGTACAAGTTTTCCAAACACCTACTCACGCCTCCTTTGGCGTTTCCCTGCGCTTTTTCTTTTCTTTTCTTTTTTCTATAACCCACAGAACAAATGAGATTCTGCATGAATCGTGCCTTGGGAGGCTTCCGTCTCCCAGCTCAGAATTAGTTCAGGCCTACATGAGCACGACGTGTGCTCCGAGATGCTACAAGAATAAAAAAACGTGCTGAGGTAGAATATAAGTTGAATATAAGTAACACAGCAATTACACATATGGAGAGGAGGCTCATCAGAAGTGTACACTATTCAAAAATTTGGAATCACTCTTTTCAATAATATAAAGCCAATCTGGTTGCAGATACATGTATAAAATTATTCTAATATGTAAGGTTTTGTACTGTTCAAAATTTGAAAAATCTGATCCCTAAACAATCGTTTTTTCAGTACCTTCTTTTTTAAAATACAAATGTGCGTTGGCTTAAAGGGCCCATACAATGTAAAACTTTCCAAATTTTGTTTAAATTAAAGCATTTGACGCATAGTGTAAACATTGTTTAGAGCTTCAGTAAGTAACAGCCAGCCGCTGTCCATACAGGCCATATGTGCAAACTAAGCTGCAGAAACAGCCCGACTTAATTCATTGTTTCTGTGATGTCACATAAAATCTATGCATTAATATCCACCTATTCAGCCTTTAACAGTACAGCCCCACCCATTGCACAGGACAGGGAACAAAAGCAACCTAATCAAAATGTGGTAATATTAATAACATGCAAGTAGAATGCAATTTAGACAGCCAGTCAGCAGTCTACAAGGGATTTCATACTTTTGAACAGTGGTGTACAGTAGATGCAAAGCATTCCTAAAGATGGCCAAGCGCTACTGATTCAGTGTGAGAGAAAGTCTGCAGAAGCAGCAGTGTGATGAGCCATTGATAAGGCTGATTTTGGCCGGTATAAGAGGTGCAGGTGGCTCGTCTGCGGGAGATGCAGGTGCTTCGGTTTTACTTGCACTCGGCCAGCAATGGCTCGCCCAGCAACGCAGGGACAGAGTGTACCATACCTGAGGAGTTTTTGCACTTGACGTTTTTCGGGGTGGTGGGCGATTTAGTGGGCGAAGCCTCAGCCTCTGCGTCGTCGCTCTGGACCTGTTCACTGTCACTCTCCTCTCTCACCGAAATATCTGCAGAAATTCCAGAACTTAAGACCCACATACTGGAGCAAATGTACATTCACTACAGGCGGTCAAATGTTTTGAAGCAACACTAACTTTATAAAAAATAAACATACACATTGTATTGGTTCAAGTGTTTATTCTGATTGTAATGATATCATCCTGATTCTCACATGCAGATACTTCTGCAGGCTTTATGAACTGAATCATTTGGAATTTGTAATAAGTATAAGCTGAACAACAGGGATGCTCAATAATATCTGTATGCCATTGTATTGGCAGATATTTGCTTAAAATATATTTACAGTCATATGCAAAAGTTTGAACACCCCCTGTCAAATGACATGTTTTGTTAATTTTGTAAGTGAAAGTAAGTTAACACATCCTCTACAGGGAACACACTCAAGTATCACATTCTTCTGCAAATTGGATTTTCTGCGTATTGGAAAAAATACAACAAAAACTATTAAATGTGCCATCATTTTTGTACAATATACATTTTGTGTTTTCTTCATGTGAAATTCAGCTAATAAAAAGTACACTATATAGACAAAAGTATTGGGACACCTACACATTACACCTACAGGAGCTTTTATGCCATCGCATTCTAAATCCATAGGCATTAATAAGAAGTTGGTCCCCCCTTTGCAGCTATAACAGCTTCCACTCTTCTGGGAAGCTTTCTACTAAGATTTTGAAGTGTGTCTGTGGGAATTTTTGCCCATTCATCCTGAGCATTTGTGAGGTCAGACACTGACGTTGGACGAGAGGGCCTGGCTTGTAATCTCCATTCTAGTTTATCTCAAAGGTGTTTGATGGGGTTGAGGTCAGGGCTCTGTGCAGGCCAGTGAAGTTCTTCCACACCAAACTCACCCAAACATGCCTTTATGAACCTTGCTTTGTGTGTTTGGGCCTCAGTCATGCTGGAACAGAAAAGGGTCTTCACCAAACTGCTCCCACAAAGTTAGAAGCATACAGTTGTCCAGAATGTCTTGGTATGCTGAAGCATTAAGATTTCCCTTCACTGGAACTAAGGGTCCTAGGCCAACCCCTGACAAACAACCCCATAGCACCTCCACCAAACTTTACAGTTGGCACAATACAATCAGGCAAATAATGTTCTCCTGGCATTCACCAAACCCAGACTCGTCCATCAGACTGCCAGATAGAGAAGCGTGATTCGTCACTCCACAGAATATGTTTCCACTGTTCCAGAGTCCAGTGGCAGCGTGCTTTACACGACTTCATCGGACACTTGGCGTTGTGCTTGGTAATGTAACGCTTGCATGCAGCTGCTCGGCTATAGAAACCCATGCCATGAAGCTCCCAGCGCAGTTTTTGTGCTGATGTTAAAGCCAGAGGAGGTTTGGAACTCTGCAGTTGTTGAGTCAGCAGAGCGTTGGTAACCTTTATGCACTATGTGCCTCAGCACCCAGCGGCCCTGCTTTGTAACTTTACGTGGTCTGACACTTCGTGGCTGAGTTGCTGTGGTTCCTTATTGCTTCCACTTTTTAATACTACCACTCACAGTTGTTGTTCAGGAGGAAAGAAATTTCGCAATTCTGACTTGTTGCAACAGTGGCATCTTATGACAGTACAATGCTTGAATTCAATGAGCTCCTTAGGAAAACCTGTTCTTTCACAAATGTTTGCAAAGGCAGACTGCATGGCTAGGTGCTTGATTTCATACATCTGTGGCAATGGGACCAAATGAAACACCTGAATTCAATGATTAAGAGGTGTGTCCCAATACCTTTGTCCATATAGTGTAATTGTGCATTAAATGTGTGTTCTCTGTGGAGGATGTGTACTTATTTTCTCTCAGAAAATCAACAAAATGTAATTTGACCAGGGGGTGCCCAAACTTTGCATACATTTGTTTAGATTTTACCAAAGTTTCAAACCAATATTTGATGTATTCAGTTTATGGTTCTTTAAGACTCAAGAGTATGAAGAACTTCTTTAAAGTTTAATGAAACTTCTGCATCATGCAAAGGTTCTATAGATTATATGGGGAACTGAGGGCTGCACAGTTTGATTTACCTGCTCAAACACACTAAATGAACCTGGCAGTTAACTGATAAGTTGAATCAGGAAAATTACCAAATTATGCAGGGATTCAACACTCCAGAACTGGAGGTTACCACCCCTGTACAATAGCAACTAAAATTTATCCTAGAACCATATGTTCAAGCCAAGAACCATTTAGGAACCTTAATTCTTCAATTTAATATGATAGGATAAGAGAGCATTACTGAGAACCAGTGGAATATTTTGGAAACAAAAATGTACTTGGTTAAACTTGGTTGTACTTGGATGTCAGTGAACATGTCGTGTTAATCAATGGCAAATTAGCTTATTTCTTATTTAAATAATATGTAAATGGAGTAATTGTTCTGTCAATTGTTATTGTCTCTTACTGACAACATACCAATAATCTAAAAGAAATCAAAAAACACATAACCCCTATTTGGATGGCATTAGGTAAAACAAACGGGCTATAATAATACACATGGTCACATTGTTGTCTGCTCTGGCACGGTCACTTACCCTGTTTGGCCAGTGTGGACTCCTCAGCCCGGTCGGATTTGCTCTCTCCCTCGTCAGGGATTTTGCTGGCGATGGGGCTGGACACATAGAGCTTGTTGATGTCCAGCGTGGTCTTACTGAAAGGGGACATGGCAGAGTACATGCTTGCATAGCCGTTGGAGGAGCAGCTGAGGGCGGCCAGGTCCAGCGCTTTGCCGCCCGTTATGATGGGGATGTTGAGGGAGAGTTTGCGGCGGCGGTTGGGCGAAGATGTCTTAGCGATGGCCAGTGGAGGAGGAGATGAAAACTTACGGCTCGCACGAGGAGACTTAGGTGGCTCTCCGTACAATAGCTTATTGTTCTGACTACTGGCAAAGAACAACTCCAGAGAACTACCCATCAGAGAGAAAGAAAGAAAGAAAGAAAGATTGTGTTAGAATAGTATTATATTACTGCCACTGTTTGGCTGTGACTTTGTAATTTGAAGCTATCACAAATGAACTTGATGACATTCCTGGGATATCACAGGACATAACACAATCATGAAGAACTGAAACATAACCATTCAGAAATCTCACTCAGAGTGTTTACTACAGTGCCATTTGATTCGCTGCCACATCACTGCATGTCACGTATAAAGCTGCAGGTTTTTGGAGTGCGCTAGGCCCTTATGAGGTTTTCATGAAAAGAACAACCTGGCAAGCGATGATGTGTCAATGTATCTTAATACAAAGCCATATTTGGTTTGGAATAAGACCAAATAAGGCTTTCCATAGTAAACATAATCATTTCTGGTGAGCAACAACATGCCACCGATATGAAAAAGTCAGAAATGCTGAACTTACACTACTCTTGCAACAATATTTTCAGAATTCCTGGATTTTGTTCATTAAGATAACACAGAATATGGCTTTTATGGCTTTTAATGGCTTTTAATGGCTCTTTTAAAGCAGTCCAGGCTAAAATATTTGTAAAACACTATTGGAAAAAATACTGTTTTGGATGCTGGAAGCCTGCAGTGATATATTTTCTTCCCAACAGTGCAATGTTATCCATTTATCCTGGTTATTTTCCACCAGACTTTCTGCAGAAACAACAGCCCTTATCACTTCAATCTAAACAGGCAGACAAAAACTTGTTGTGGCATCACAGTCATGTTGAAGCTGCTCTTTTTGCAGATTTGTTTCCAAATATGAAATGAACACCCAACAATGTTTACACAGTACATCAAACTTGTTTATTTTTAAATAAAGCAAAGAAATTTTGATGACATGATCACTGTAACATTATCCAGTGTAGTTCCTACCATACACTGCAGTGAAAATATACCACACGAGTTACAGCTTAAGTTTGGTTCTTGTTGCTAGCACACGCTGCCCCCCCCCAAAGCCCCCCCTGGGTGTAATTTAAGGAACCTTGCAGAGAGGGTTCTGCATGAGACCGAAAAGGGATGTCTGACAGAGGCGAGCAGAAACAACCCCGGGTAGTGCCCCTATAAGCCCCTGAGCTTGCTCCATGGCACTGGTCAGGAATTCTGATCTCACTCTTGATTAGTTGAGAGCACAGCGCCGTTTGGAGCTGTAGTGTACTGATGAAGAGGAAAAAAAGAAAATCCTCCAGAGCGTGCGTGTGGCATAGTGTTCATATTTGCCAGTAAAGGCTGCGGAGAGCTCTCCCACACGCCGCGCCACCCTCAGCGTCATCCAGCACCCAGAAATAGAGCCCTCTCTGACAGGCTAGGTGAGCGACAGGGGAGATGAGCGGGGGAGGCCCGAGGAGGGGGGTAGGGGGGGCTCTGGGTGTAGGAGTGTGGGAGGCCCCCAGCTCTGGCTGCAGAGAGAAAGAGAGAGAGGGAGAGAGAGAGAGAGAGGGAGAGAGAGTGAAGGTTGCAGTAAAGAGAGGTGGGGAAGGAGAGGGAGCGAGTGAGAGAGAAAGAGACAGAGCACAGAAACATAGGAGAGAGAGGGAGATAGTTGAGGTAAAAAGAGAGAGAATTAGAGAGGTGAGGAGGGAGAGAGAGAGAGAAGGAGAAGGAGACGGGTGGGAGAGAAAGGCACGGATGGAGATAGAAGGAGATAGAGAGAGAGAGAAACAATAAGAGCAAGACAGAGATGGAGAAGGAGAGAATGGGAGACCCAAGTAAAGGAGAGAGAGATAGATGCAGATAACAGAGAGAGAGAGAGAGAGAGAGAGAGAGAGAGAGAGTGAGTTGTGGAAAAGGGAGGGAGTGATGCCGAGTCAGTGGAGAAAGAAGGAAGAGCTGGAGAGAGAGAGAGAGAGAGAGAGAGAGATAGAGAGAGAGAGGCAGAGGAGGGATTGGCTGTAAACGTGTAAACTAAATATTTCATCCAGCAGCTCGTCTGCAGGCGGCTGAGGGTGGGGTCCTGCAGCAGAGTGGGCAGTTGCTAAGGTGACGGTGACAGACCCTGCTGAGACGCTTCAGTTAGGCAGGCAGGCAAGGGGGCCGAGCCCCAATTACTGCTGCAGAACACATGCACACATTAGGACGATGCACATCCAGGCTTCTACTTCGCAGCATCCAAATCTCTCTCTCTCTCTCTCTCTCTCTCTCTCTCTCTCTCTCACCCCTTCATACATATACAGACACCTGGAGTACTCCTGTCCTGCAGACACTTGCACAGACAGATCCTAGGGGGAGCCTGAGCACCTGCCCTTTTGCCCTCAGACTGCAGAAATGCCCCTTGGTCAATGTGTATTATAGTTGTATAAGAGCTCTGTGGAGCTAAATAACTCCCTGGTTCATACTTGGCAGAGTGAGTAACACTGCAGCCTTGTTAGTTGGAGATGAGGATTGGAATTAGAAGTTAAAGTTTTAGGCTGCCATGTGACAAACTCTTAACATAATCATACTGTCTCTCCCAGTGGCAGTTTCTGTAACATGCTGTAAATTAAATTTAGTTTACGTCCCTGTTGCCCTTTTTTACTTCGCGCCCCTGCCCCACACACCATTGTTTAAGAATTCCAGCTGATGCATGACTCTCACAATGTCTCACATGTAGAACGGTAAAAATTAAAAGTTGGCTCTGAAAAAATTGACACTGTACAAATTATTAATCCATGTTACTATAGTTAAGTGTCCACATTTAGCCTAGCAGTCTACTTTTTTGTCAGCATTCCTAATAAACTGGCAACTTGATGCCACAAGTATAGTGCCTTACTGTTGTATATATCAGTCGCGGTGCCTTAATATGCCACAGACATGACTGAGAAGCCTGCAGCAGTGCAACTAGGCTAACCATGATAGCTGAAGTTAGAAAAGATATTTCCCTGTTCGCAATGTTAGCTCGACAAACCAACATGTCTCCATGTTACCACATTCACTACTCAACTAATGGTAAACTGCTCTAGCATTAGCTTAATTACTGATTTCATTCAGTGACTAAAATATTTCTTTTTGCTTTTGAACAACCAAGGCAGTAGTTTTTAAATGAAAAGTCATGTTTATAATGGACTCTGCCTGCTATTTTCCTTTATGCTGCTGAATTTGTCTAGTACAAGTAAGAGTACAGAGTTAATTTAGCTCTGATCCAGACACGAAACACATATTAATGCAAGGTGTAAACAGGCTACACAAGAGTAACACTGTAAACAAGAGTAATGCAAGAGTAAACTACCAAAAATAACTACCTAGAGAATCAGAATTAGAATTAAATTATAGAACTAGGACCAGAGTTAGGGCTAGGCCTGCCACGATCATTAAATTTTAGCTGACGACTAATTGTCATACAAATAACTGTGACAATTTAATCATCTTGCTCACTGTATGCAACTATTCAAGCCCAAGCCTACAGTGGCCAAACAGGCTGATTAGCAATCTTGCTTCCTAGCTATCTTTACTTAGTAGCTACAACAAAATTGTACAGACATTAAATGATATACTGCACTGTTGTACACTCACACACACTCACACAAACATCTACTATTACATAGAGTCATGTGAAGAGTCAAGCAATTCAACCTATCAGTTAATTGTCAGTTAATGAGTAGGTGTGTTAGTATAAAAAAAACACAAAATAGGTCCTCCAGGGCTAGAAAGTGGATGGTAGCCTCTGTAGATATATTACTTTTCATGGTCAAAACATGTTTTCACTAATCCCTGCCTTGCATAATCCAAAAGATGGAGAGAAAAGCTCTATTCACAAGCATATCACCTCACACACTCACTTCCACACAAAGCAGAACGCCAACCTCTCAACAAATCCATAAAATCACAGAATGCGCATGAAGGAGGCTGAGCATTTGAACAGGCTGAGTAGATACATCAGGCAACAGATGGTATGGATCTATATTGGACAAAGGTACAGATCTCTAAGCACACTGCGGAGATTTAACAGATGTGTCAGGCTGGCACATTGTTTGCTTAAACTTCTGATGTATGTTGGACGAGTATATCTAAGCTTGTAGTGACAGTGACACACATCCAGATCAGGGAAAATACAATTCTTTAACCCCTTAAATGGCCAGGGCAAAGTTTTATTACACAATTCTATAACCAAAGAATAGCTCAAGCAGTTTGCAAAGAAGTCCCTGTAGTTACTGAATAATAAGCCTTAGTATGTAATAAGCCTGGGATTTTAAGGGGTTAGCTGAACTGTGGGTTAATATCTCATCATGGGAACTGTTGACTCAGGATCAGTTTTACATTTTGCCATGCTAACCTTTAAAGTTATTTGAAGTTATACCATAAAACTGAACAAGAAACAGCACTTTAACACTGCAAAACATACCTTAGCAAGTGATGTCATCCCAAGTTGAGCTGATATATCTAATATTTCTCTTTTTGGGATTGTTGCAAGAATATTAAGATTTTCTGACTTATTTCTAGACATTTTTTACTTTTATTATCTCACTATATTGGCAGATAATTGTACTTGTTTCATGCATATTTCTTAAAATAAGCCAATATAGTCAATATATACATTGAATTCTGAAACACACGCTGCCTATAGCCTTCTAAAGGCAGGCAGTCGTCTGCTGATCTCAGCCATTAAAGCCACAGTTTTAAAGTAATTTTGTTAATCTTAGCTTTATTGCATGTAAACATTCACCCTCAGAGGCATTTCCTTTCTGATGTCTCATGAGCTTGAAGGAACTTCCTTATCCTTTCATTATCCAGTATATGAAGGTGCTTAATTTGATTGTTTGCAAACACTGAGAGAGTAAACAAAGTAATTAAAGGACTCAAAACATGTTTCGTCAGGTAATTGACTCTTGGCCTTAAGCCATGTATATCAACTTGGAGCATTTCTCAGACCTCTTCACTTCATTGCAGCTGTAGTGGCAGGGTGGGAGGCTCAAAAGGCACAGGAGGTACATTTAAAAAAATCCTTCATCCAAAAATGCTAATGCAAAAGCTGTGGGAACTATTTAGAACTATGCAACTGAAAGCAAGCTAACAGATAATTCTGTAGTCAGCGTCTTATGCATATTAGGAACTCCAGGTGTCAGCAGATCTTCTCTTTGAGGAAAAATGAATGCGAATGAGAAAAATTCGAAAGAACTTGAAAACCATCATCATTTGCGCCCTGTGGTGAACAAAAACATCCAATACATTTTGTCCTTTGTACACTTTTCCCCCCTGAATGTCACTACAACAATTAAAAGGTTGTTTAGCAGTCCAAATATGAATAATATGAATAATGTGACATATATACTACTATTACAGCTAGGCCTTCAGTTCTGACCATAGATGTCAAAACTCAGTCAAAAACAAGGAAAAAATCACCTCTATCTGTGAGCCTGAGGGTTCCCCACTACATGCTACAAGCAAGCTAACACTCCTGCACAGTGAAATGATGTCACAGGAAAGTAAGTCTATTACCCTTCAACTCTATTATGTACCAACATCAACATACATCATACATACATCAACCCTACTACTGCCAAAGAAACTTCACATTTGACAAAGCTGGATGGTTTGCGTAGGGTATTTTGGTGAGTTTGCCAGTTTCAAAATCATGAAACTCCAGGAAGGATTGAGTACTTACTAACTACTTAAGCATGCAGTGAAAAAAAAAACAGACTTTAGGGTGTTAGACTGTTTAGGGATTATGACATTGAAAAGCTAAATGATGCCAGTTCAGTGCACAGTAGTGTTAGCTTACATGTAGCAATAGTCGTATTTTGGCTTCTTAGTGTATCTCATAGGATCCAGCGATTTTCTAAAGAAAAATGTCCATGCAGCAAAACATATCAGCTTTGGAACAGCTTTTTTTTCATTGAGAAACCCAGACTTTCTAATATGCACATGATGTCTATTACAGAATGACAGAATAACGTCTTCAAAAGTCTGTTTAGTGTTTCTCTGAATACACTAAAAAAAGTAATGCTTGGAGTTCATCGCTTCTACATGAATAAAATATCTTACATCAACACAATTTGGTCTTTCAGTTTACCTACTCTTGGCAATAATTGTGTTGATGTTATATGAATGCGTACATCATTATGATATTTATTCATGTATAAATGATTTGTACATCTGAATCAAGTAAGTTCAACACACTACTTTTTTCAGTTAGCAAATTCCTTTGCAAGCAAAGTAGATGTGAGACCTACCGGGCTGGGATGGCACTGATGGGCCTCTTGTAAATAGCAATGAGCTTGTCGAGTACAACGTCAGCGGTGGTGAAGACTCGGTAGGAGTGCAGGAACGTGTTGAGGAAATCAATGGAGAGAAAGCGCAGGTCAGTCAGCCGCTCCAGCAGCCGCTCCACACTGGCATAACGGATCTGCAGCACCTTGCACGAGTTCATCATCTTACTGAATCGGATGTCCACGTCATCGCAGTAGAGGCTGGCATCAGACCTGAAGACAGAACATACATGAGCCATCAGTAGTGATACAAACATACATAAGCCAAACAGTAGTGATACAAAGTGATGGTTTGCATCACTACTATTTTAATCATTAAATGCATACCTCAGGTTGCTAATGACATGTGACCTCATTTTCATCCTCTATTTCATACATTTTTTCCAGAGAAGCTACAAATAAAATCTCAAAATGCAGCAAAATGTTTTGATTACCATACAGCAGTTTGTAAATCAATTTGTGTAGATACAGTTTGTAGACACCCCTTCCAATTAGTGAACACAGCTACTTTAGGATGCAGCCATTAGTGTCTCAGGTGTTCAACTGTGTATGTGCAGCCAGTGTTGCCTAATTGGGCATTTTTTGGTTGGCCTGGGTGTTGAAGAAGTGGAAAAAATTTGGACTGGTTTGTCATGAAAATACATGAAGCCTAAGGTCACAATGTCCACCGCTAGGCGTCAGTTAGAGAGGAATGAAGCTACACAGCAATGTTCTCTGTAGTTGTATAGCACCATCCAATACTTTTGGAATGAGCTGGGGTGGCGTTTGTGATCCAGAATTTAGGGACACGGCAGTACCTAGGGACACAGGAAGCAGGGTTACTAAGGGGGCTGCAGCACCCCCCTAATTTGAGAACTGCAACTGCTAAAGCCAATAATAACTGTATAGATATTTGTTTTTTTTTATAATTTGAGTGTAGCGAAGATTCAGGAGTGGGTATTTTTCGATTTTTATTTATTTATTTTCAAAATGTACAATAGAGGTGCACGAGTTTTCATTTCTGTGTTTTCATTACAGCGAGCTGAGTCGCTTCCCCACGTGCAGGCTGTGGTGCAAAGAGAGAAAGTGTGTGTAGAAATAGAGGTCTGTTCTAAACCCCAACACAGCCTGAACTTTTAAAAAGTCATCTAATGTAATAATAACATTATATCAACTGTTTTATCTCCCGCTCATTGTGCATTCTCACTGCATGACTATGGGTGTGAAACAAATGGTTACCCCAGCACATAACAATCTGACTGGTCACCACTTAGTTAATTTGCATAAAGTTTGTCCAGAATAAGGGAGCCGAGAGAGGCTGTGCATCAGCAGTTTGATGTGTCAGTTATATGAATATATTGTAGTCTCTTGTCTCATTATACAGCAGCATGACACATTCTGTTTGAAGTGAATTATCAAAAAAATAGAAATCAAATGGAAAACGGCAAATAATTTAGCATTATGTCATTGTTCATGTCACGTATTTGCTGCTTAAAGTTTCAGCACCCCCAACTTTAAACACCTTCCCGCATCCCTAGAAGTACCTGATCTCACTAATGCTCTTGTGCCCGAATGATATGAAATCTTTACAGCTCAGCATCTAGTGGAGGCTGTTACTGCAGAAAAGGGGGAAACTCCTATGAATACCCTTGATTTTGGGAGACACATTGGATGTGCAGGTGTCTAGAAACATTTGGACATATGGTGTATCTGAACGTTGGCTGGCTGGTGAACTATCATAATACAATAGCACCAATGATCAGTAATTCTTGATCGATACAAGACTGATCTTAAGGGAATTAAAACTTCTTTTGATTTAATGTGTGCACTTCTAGTGCTGCCATCATGACCGGAATCACATTCATACATAACAGAGCAGTTTTATTATAGGCAGTCAAACACATGGACATGTGTACTAGAAGACTATATCTGGCACACTGACTTTCCTTATGAGCGCGTCATTGGGACTCTTACTTGATCATCTGTGGTACAGTGACTTTTGAGTTCTCCTCAAAGGCATTCATCATCAGCCCATTGCAGCGAATGTTGTCTATGCACTGCGAGAGAGAGAGAGAGAGAGAGAGAGAGGAGAGAGAGAGAGAGAGAGAGAGAGAGAGAGAGAGAGTGAACACAGATTTCGAACCACAGGAGGCGAATGGAGAAGGGGGGAAGGGTGCGCTGCCCCCCGAGGCTGTGCGGATGACTGAGCAGGAGGTGATGCGAGTGGACGTGCCTGGCTGATGTCACTGGTCCAGGCTGACTTCTCTTGGCGTGAGGAGGCCACTAGGATGACGGTGAAGGACTGGCTGTCTTTGGGCTCTACCACTATCTTAAAATCCAGGTGCTCCATGTCCTGGCCGCTCTTGTCTGTCTTTGCTGCAAAGACAAGTAAGACACAAAATCTTAGACCTGAACTCTTCTGGCCACCCTAGTTATGGAAAGTGACACAGTCTGTCATCATCACCCAATCATCATTAATAAAGCATCAATAAGGCATGCTTAAAATCAGCCATCAGGGTAGTTACCAATAAGTTATGAGAGTCTCATGTGCTGCATTTAACAATTAGCGTATTTTGGTGTGACAGGCTAATTTACTTAGCAAACAGGCAAGTGAATGTGCGCTGGGCCCCTTCAGCAGTGCTACCCTGTGAGCTACATTATGGACTAAGCTATTCGATGATATGATGTGTTAACTATCAAAAATTAGTCAGCTATACTCATTTATCATGTTAATTTCTTTTTACAGTTGAATATATGCAAGTGTTGTATGAAACCTTATACAGCATTGTTTGGCTAGTTTTCTAAACATTACACACATGTGTAACCTGTAGTGGATGCAACGTATGTGAATAACTTCTACGGCCTGCTATATGAAATATTATTCAAGTTAACATTGTGCAATGAAAGTGATGCATTTAATTTATGTGATTCAGATACACCGTTTTCTCATGAAGGACTAAAATATGTTACATCAACACAGTTTTGTCTTACTTTTTTCCACCCCATTCTAAAAGCTCTAGCTACGCCCCTGGCCTGCATAACAGTTTATTTATTTATGCAAAATCTGGCAAAAAAAACTAAATGGACCAATATCCTGCATTTTTCCTTGAGGTCCACTTATAACATTTGTGTAGTTTTGTGTACAAAAAATGCTTACAATTCATTTTTACATGGCCACTTTCCAACTTCTCTTTATCTCTAATAATTAAACATGCTGTTCTTGGTGCTGTATAGGGTGGGGCTAAACTGCTAAAGGCTGAATAGCTGAGTATATGTAAATGAGTTGATTCTGGTGACATCACAGAAACAATGAACAAGCTGACCAAGTTGTATTTGAAGCTAGGTTTCATGGACTGTATGGACTGGGGAGTTAATAGTACATTTTAAAAGGTTAACAATGTTTACATATTACCTCAAACTCCTAAAAAAGTAGGAGAAACTTGGGTTTGCATAATATGGGCCCTTTAAATCATTAGGGTTGTAAATAGTCATATGGTTTGATGTAAAGTATAGACACACTTCTATAATCCAAGAATAGCTCAGCCAGTTCCCACTGAAGTCCTGTAGTTACTGAACAATAAGCCTTAGCATGTAATAAACCTGTGAGTTTAAGGGGTTAACCCCTTAAAATCCCAGGCTTATTACCTCTTACCTCTTACTTATTTTTCAGTAATTGCATGGAAAAGCAACGCAAACTGGCTGTTATTCTTAAGGTACAGGAGTGAGGAATGGATGCCTAGCCTGCCGGATTCTTACAAAGACGTTTACCTACACTTTGGTACACACATTTTTTCAAGAAGCCCCCAAGTCCTCCTAAATTGATATTATTGAAGTGCTATTCAGGCAGTAACTTCATTAGGAACGACATAAGAGTAACATAATTTCCGGCATCAATTTGTGGAAACATATTAATAGCTATCCGGTCCATTATGAGGTAATCATGCATTGGTATTTCACAGGAGTAGCTGTTCTGTTGCCTGCAGGGATAGATAGAAATCAAAACAATCTGATACTTACACTCATCATCCGTGCTCTCCGGGTCCTCGATCAGTGTGCAGTCGATAAGCGACACCACTCCGTTCTGTCGGCCAGAGATACAGAACGGTGAGACGCACTCATCAGATCCTCTGCTATCAAATAATCAATACAGGCTACACTAAAACAGTCATTACCGAATTGCCTGAATTTCCCCAAAGACTAGCGGACAATACAAGGTTATTGAGTGTGGGAAAATTACAGCCAGCTCGAAGGTTGTTATCACCGCTTTCCCCATGCACAACAAACCATTTCAATGACTTAACAAGGATTTGGGTCATTTTCTGAGAAATTAAAGGCAGACACAAACACCAGAGCTACTGAGGACGTTATTTCCAATATTACGGCCTGTCAAATCCAGCATTTTATCATAATCCCTGTTATAGTTTGTTTTTATCTTATTTGACTTTCAAGCAGTTGTTTTGGATAACTATGCAAAATGTCTGCATAATTCAGTCACTACAACGTAGATAAAGTCACTCAGAGGTGTTTGATGTAAAATAGTTCATTGTTGAGAAATTTTACAGACTCATATTTTCTTCACAGTGCTGGGAATTGGGGTTGTGAAGTCTACAATGCAAATACAGGCAGTTTTTTACTGGTAAACTTCTCTGGAATGAAGCATTGTACATCAAACTACTTTAAATGACTTTCTTTAAATGTTTTAAAATTGGTGGAATTCATCTTTAAATTTCAGGTTTAGAATGAGACCTGAAGCGCACTGGTCTCCTGTCGCACTGGTTTTGCTGTTGTTATCAAGCTAGCAAAGTGAAATAACAAAGTTGCAACAGTCATGTGTAACAGATGGACTAGACAAGAAGACTTCGAAATTAAATGTAAATACAAAGTATTATAAAGTATTTTACTGTTGTGGCTTATAAACAGCTTTGTCAATCATTTTCTTCTGCTGAAATTTACACTTATGTTGACTTGTCTCTTGTCCCTCCCACAAGATATTTAACAAACTTCACTTGAGCTAATAGAGAAAAGGAACAGTACCGAAACAGAAGGTCTCACCTTGGTTAGGTGCAGCTTCCCCCCAGAGCCTCTGGTGCAGATGATCAAGTGCTTGGAGAAAAGGAAACACTGTCTTTCTCCCTCCTTCTTCAGAGATAAGGAGCCCAGGCGGCCACGGGTGATCTTCCCTTTCTCACTCATGGGCACCTGGATGAGGGATCCTGGGAGAAGGAGCAGTCGAGGATAGAGGGATGGAAGACACATGGAAAAGAGTCAGATCTGAACTCAGAGGAAAAGTAGCTTGACAGATAGCGGGCTATTCCTTTCACAGTTTTTAAACTCCATGGGGAATCCACAGGACCCAACTATTTCCTTATCAGATGTTTTCACAACTCTGGCACGCCCTATGGAGGATCTGTGACATTTCCCAGCCCTGACTCGTGGGCAGATTGACTTGTAAGAGTGCGATTAGGTTTGGAAATGAAAGCCTCGCTCTGCGCTTCAAGCACATGCTGTTCTTTGGAGACTGGCGGGATTAGGACGGCCAATCCTTCGGGTTAATGCCCTCCTTTGTGGAATCAGAAAGGAGAGGGAGAGCCCAGAGAGACAAGGGAGGGGTGCGTGACAATGCGGGGTGACAAGAACGACAGTTTACAGAATAGAGGAGAAGAACAGAGAATCCAACTGTGGGACTCTGCCCTTATCTGCAATCTGAGGCTCTTTTGTGGAGCTCTAGGCTGCTGTGTGAGTGTGTGTATATTTGTGTGTGGGGTGGATCTACCTTGTCTGACAAAAGTCTGGCTGGTGTCCAGGAGAATCTCACAGCCCTCTACGATCATGCGCTCGATGGCCAGGTTCTTCCTGATGTTCTCGGTCTCGCTCACCTCATCGTGCATGATTCTGAAAGCAAAACATTACACAACACAACATTTCACATACTTACATCAAGAAAGTAATGATGAAAATATCTCCTAGTAAGTCTGATCTCTTTACATGATACAATTTTTCTGCATTCAGACATCATAGGTACCATGTAGAAAACTTCCTATCCTTACTTACTATCCGTCTTAATGTTACCCTGACCTTTTTTTTACTTTGTTAGTTCATGTGCATAGTTCTATGAAGTGTTCTTGATTTTGTATTATTTAAAAGGCAAAGTTATTTTTTCCCATAATCATCCATCCTGCCTGCCTTTCTCAAAAATGTGTTCTGATTTTTGATTACGTCATCATGCACAATAGCATAGAGACTGTCTCCAAGACCACTTTTCACTTGACATTCACAGAAGGTACGGACAGAAAATTCTGATTACGCTTAGAAGTGGCACTTTTCGCTGGCATTAAAAAAGCAAGTTGTAATTAGACATTACTTATTTCTCCAACACAGTTCATTGAAACAGGCCAAAAAATCTGTTGAAATTCCCATTGGTACCACTGAAAGTCTTGTATGAAAGCATGAAAACATGCTTACATTTACCATGTTTTTGTCACTGGGTAACATTACAACACATGGAAAAATGTAAAAAGTGTTGATTTGCAGCTGTGGAAGCAGAATGTAAATGTAATTCATTGTGCAACATACTATGTAATTAGAAGTGCTGTCAAAGTTAACATGTTAATAATGCTAAATTATTAGCTATGTTTTTAGTGCCATTATCACATTTTCCAGTACCACTTTAGAATAACACCCAGTTTACACCTGACACTTGTGGATCGTATCCTGATAAGATTTTAGCCACATGCATTTACACTTTGTGGTCAAATGTTTCTCTGGTTAGTCGGACTAAAAGCTGATCGCTGTGTGGGACGGAATATGCAAATCCACTTGTTACGTGGCAGCCAATTACCAATTATTTATCCACTTAGTCTCTTCGTCTGCAGTTTGTTTTGTACAGCAGTGTCTGTCCACATTGCTTTTAAGCATTCTGTTTCATCTAGTGTGATTATCTTCCTCATAGACACGGATGATGTGCTCAGTGACATACTGCATCAGGAGGAGGTTGTAGTGGGAGGGGTTTTGGTTGTCGAATGTGTCTTGGAGAGATGGATAATTTAAACTGCTATAACATGTGGCTTCAATGCATCTCAGGCCACCTCCTGGAGTGGTTTAAGCGATTGGATTTGTATCCGTTTTAAATACCTCTTGGGTGCAGTTTATGTGGCTTGGCCTTATGTAGATAAAATCCTGATAGGTGTAAACATGGTCTTTGACTACCTTATGACCTAATTAACAACCATTAATGAACTAATTTTAAACCATTCATAAACCCTTAATAAGGGCAGTCTTATTCTGAAGTAGTACCTATTTTCTGAGTTTGACCCTTCTGTGTATTTGTAGCATGCTGAAGCACAGCTGCTGTGCTGTTGCCACAACTCCGCTCAGTTTATTCCAGCTTCTACCATGGTGAATTAGTTTATCACTGAAGTACATTAACTTTGAAATATCATTTCCAAGCTGACCACATCACTGATGTCAGAGGCAATATCAGTAATTCAGCAGACTATGCTGGACAGTGCTCGTAAGATAACTATGGATAATTCAATGAGTAGCAAAATAACAGAAACAGCAAAGTGGAAAACTACAGCTCCTCTCATGACTCTCCTTTGTAACAAGAAGCCACAAGCTGTACAAACAAGAATGAGAAGGCTACAATCACAGAGGAACATGCAACCACTGTTGCTCTCTCCTGGCGAACTGGAAAACACATTCACCCCATTTTCATGTTCACCTTATGTACCTTACCTTATGTTCACTTGTGGAAAATATTATTATTTAAGTACTGAAAGTAATAAATACACTGCAATGACAATTATTTTATCCACTCATATAACTTATATAACAAAATGCACTGTTTATAAAATACTTCTTTAAGGTCAAATTTAAGCAAAAAATGAGATGGTAATGAGATATGGTGAGGCAGTGGTGAAGCAGGTGAGGAGGTGCAGGTGGGCTGTACCTGGAGAGCTCTTCTAACTTGGATTTGGCGTATTCCAGGCTGTTCCTCTCCACATGCTCGTGAGGTGTGTGCGCCAGCAGCTCATGGAGAGTTAAAATGTAACGTGGGATCTGTGGAAAAAGAAGCGCCATAAAGTGAGGTGGTGTTGGATGTGTGTGTTTTTAGAGAAAAACCAACAAAATGGTTCTATTTTTTGAGAGGTACATGCTACGCATTCTAAGACAAACCATTGTAAAGAAATCTTTACAATAAACCATTTCACATCAAACCACCCTGCATGACTTTTTTTACATTCAGGGTTACCACCTTGAATGACTGAACTATGCAGAAATTAGTAATTATGCAGTACTGTGCAAAAATCTATAGTCCAAATATTTACATTTTTACAAACTACTACACACGTATATTACCATTACTAATAGAGAGAATAACTCACTCTACAATGCTGGTTTGAACTGTGGTTCATGTCGTTACTGAATAAGCTTGGGATTACAATGGATTAAACTTAGTGAGTTTTTGCCAGTAAAAAAAAAACATTTGTAATAATGTAATATATTACATTAGAATTTGGGATGTTTTTGTAATTCAGAATTCAGTGGGATACAATACAGTACCTGAAAAAAATGTTCCTTGTATTAATATGTTAATGTTTCAATTTTCAATTTATTAGAGCATTCAACATTATAAAAGTACAATATTTGAAACAAAGATGTTCTAGCCATAAGCTTAGCATAAGCATCAAGCTATGACACTACTCACTAGTTTACATGCTAGTCAACACTATTCGATACAATAAGATATTTTTATATCCCTAATTAGAATAAATACAAATTAGCATAAACGCAGTAATACACAACATACTTTTGTTTGTTTTTAAAAACGTTATTAATATGTTGGTTACAGGAATACAATTAGAAGAACACAAGTCTTGTTCCTGACTTCTTGCTTCACTCCAGCCATTGCATGGATTTGTTCAATTTCATTAGCAGCACCTGATTTATTTAATAAAGAACTGATTAGATAAACTAGGTATTGGATAATAGCTTTAAATTTGTAATTATTCTAATGTTAGTGGTTTTGAACAAATAAATGCTTGCTGTCCAGATAAACAGCTTTCCATATCATTTTCTCAGAAGACTTTCGTATAGTGTTTTTATACAACATCACAGATATGTCCCATTTAGTTGGAAAAATCAGCTGCGTACGCCGTGCTGAATGCTCAGCGAGGAGGATCAGAAGGGAGCGATACACACAACCACACTCATCAGCACAAATTTATTACTTATGCAGCAGAGCCCAAAGTAGGCCCTGGTGGAGCAGCTCACCAGCAACTGCACGTCTCACCAGGAAAAAAAGAAAACGCGAACAGAGTCAACCACTTGAAGGTGGCTGCGAAAAGCCTGCAACAAACAGCGTCTGGATACAGACATGTGTAGCTAACAGCCACCCGTTGGCTTTGATCACAGAGGGGATATGCTAATAATAGCTCACTGAGGCAGGCGAATGTACTTAAATAGTCTGATTTTTTTATTTTGCCATTTTATGCTTTTTCTTCATTTCCCTAATGTGCTTTTAGCTGTTCTGGAGAAGTTGAAAATGAGACCATTGGCTTAATGCTTTTTATCTACGCAAATCAATATTATACTAGCAATAATACTAATAGTAATACACTGCCACTAATACCTGTGGTAATAATAATAACAGATCTGTAGCAGTGAGAGAGCAAGGGAGAGTGAGAGACTGAGTGAGAAGAAGTGAACGGTCACCTGGAACATCGGATAAGTAAGGAAGGTCTCAAGGGTGCGCTCCTCACAGTCGGGCTTGGCCTCATACTGCTTGAGCAGCTTGTCGAAGTCTCGGTTCTGCTTGCAGTGCGCCAGGATCTGCAGGCTGTACTGGTGATTGCGAACAAACTCCTGATAGATGTTCAGCATGGGCAGCAGAATGTCAAAGAGGTCAGCTGGTGGCAGAAGATAAAAAGGAATGATAAGCCTGGTGCCCTGTTTTCAGCAAGTATCAGTCACAACAACCAATACAAACATGGTTATGCTTGTCTTTTAAATGCGTATACAGACAAATATTAGCAAACAGTATGTATTCAAAAGCTTAAACAAAAATAAGTTTTAAAAACAAATTAATACTGAAAAAAGTATTCAGACACTATATTAATATATATATATATATATACCTTTTAGCCAAAACATTATGCCTAATGTGCTGTAGGTCCTCTGAATAATGCCAAAATGGCTCCAAGCCACCAAGGCCTGGACTCTACAAGACCTCTGAAGTTACCCTGTGGTATCTGGGACCAAGACATTAGCAGAAGATCCTGTGAGCTGCGAGGTGGAGCCGCTGCAGATTGGACTTCTTGTTCCAGTGCATTCCACAGATGCTTGATTCGACTGAGATCTGGGGAATGTTGAGGCCAGGGCAACACCTTGAGCTCTACATCACGTTCCTCAAACTATTCCTGAAAAATGGGTGCAGTGTGGTAGGGCACATTATCCTGCTGGAAGAGGCCACTGCAATCTGGGGAATACCACTGCCATGAAGAGGTGTACTTGATCCACAGTGATGTTTAGGTAGGTGGCACATGTCACATTACCATTGCCCAGAGCATCAATTTCCTTGATCAGCTTGTCTTCTTCCCACAGTACATCCTGGTGCCATCACTCCCCCACAGCACACACGTACCTGGCAGTCCATGTGATGTAAAAGAAAATGGGACTCATTGAACAAGGTGACCTTCTTCCATTGCTCCAAGTTCCAGTTCTGACACTTGCATGCCCATTGTATATTTTTTTTGTACAGAGGACAGGGTCAATGTGGGCACTCTGGTCTGTGCCACGAAGCCCTCTACGCAGCGAAGTGTGTTATGACACATTTCTCCTGTAACCATCATAAAAAACTTCTGTGACTTGTGCCACAGTGGCCCTTCTGTTGGTTAAGACCAGATGGCATAGCCTTCATTGCCCCTTGCAACGATGGGCCTTGAACACCCAACATCATGTCACTGACTTGTGGGTTGTTTGTCCTCGGACCACTGTCGCTTGGTACTCGCTAGTGTTGACCGGAAGCACAAGTTTTGCCGCTTTAGAGATTCTTCAATCCAGTTGTCTGGCCATTACAATTTGCCCCTTGTCAAAGTCAGGTCTTCACATCTGCCCATTTGTCCCGCATCCAACACAATGAGTATGAGGACGATATGTTTGCTTACTGTCTAATATATTCCAGACCATGACATGTGCATTACTCACTTCGTCTGTGAGTGACCATAATGTTTTGGCACATCGGTGTATATGTTAAGATTAAAATAAATAATAAATAAATCAAGTTCTACATATTAATGCTGCAAAAAAAATTTAAATAAATAAAAGTGTTCTTGTGCAAAATGCACCCAGACGTTGCCATTGGCTGGTGATTTCAAGCGACAAGTAGCAATCATGGTGAAGGCTTCATGGTGAAGAAGCTTCTTTAAGTTTTCACGGGCGACATTATTAAACAACAATAAAACAGAAAAAGCTAAAGAGCCGTAGCAAAGAGCTTAAATGTCCCTGTCAGTACTGCTTGTTTAATAATATCCAATTGGAAAATTCATAGACAGGTGCACCATGCAAGGCTGGTATAGGTAGAAAATAGGTAGAAGGTTCTTGCATGGTCTAGCCAATCTCCTAACTTGAGTTCCACTGAAGATTTAAGCAGGACTTTGACCTTGGGGAACAGAAGATTTGTTTATCAAGAGGAATGAGCCAAAATTAAACTACAATGCTACAAAACTGCTATTTTTATTCTTTATTGGTATTATAGATGATACTAGTAATAGTTCTGGTTAGTTAACCACAAATCAAACGTTTTTTCAGGTTGTTGAATTATCACGCTCAAATTTACACACACTCCTACCAGATGTGAGTTTGATCGTTCAGATATACTAAAAATGAAACTGATGGGTAACAATGCTCGATTTTGTGTGCTCTGACTTTATGATCACTTTGGGAAATAAGAGTGATTATGTGTGTAAATCTAAAGTGGAAATATGCACTAAAAGTATATTAACTAAAAAAAGACAAAAGTGTCTGAATACTTGTTTCCACTCACTGCAACTTATTCATGGTATGTAACTTATGTAAACATATATATATTATATATATATATATATATATATATATATATATATATATATATATATATATATACATATGGTAACTATAACTGCACTTTTTCAACTTCAGTTTTGCATTTAAATTTCTGTATGTACTGTTCAGCCTCCCAACACTGGTCCCACCTTAGCATCCCTGCCAACAACCATACCATCTAGTTTCATTTAAGCTTTAAAAAAAAACCAAAAAACATACTCACCCAAGACTAATGTTGGCCAGCTCGCTATCCGTGCTTTCAAGCCTTGGTAGAATATCTGGTGTAAAAACATGATGGTTTCACTGAAAAAAAAATATATAGAAAACTTCAGTTTCCAATTAAACTTATTTATAGTTGTCCCTTAACATGGAATTCAGAAGCATCTTATTTAGAAAAACTCAAGAAATACAAAGTAGGCTTAAAGGCTCTATACCAATTAAAGGTTTTTCCTGGAACCATATGTTTAAACCAAGAACTATTTAGGAACCTTTATTTTTAGAGTGTAGTTCATTAGGGGACTTATTATGTGCAAGTCCCTTTTAGTCTCTTCATGTTTAATTGGACATGGTCTTCACTTTCTTGTCATCAGTGGACCTACCTGTTGAGGAATATGCTGCTGACGTCATCGTGGGTAATGGGGGGCTTCTTAGAACTGGCAGCCATGCGAAGTGGCCGGAGGAAGTTGTTGACTAGGATGTGGAGCTGCTGGACATACTCAGCCTCGGCCTCCAGCATGCTGAAGACCACCTGGTTCCTCTTCCTCATGCTCTCAGCATGCGGTGAGCGTATGTAGTCCTGGATGATGGTCTTCCACTTTCGCCGGCACATCCAACCTCGCAAGAAGCTCTGCACCTAGAGAGTTTTCAGTTAGGAGAGGTTAGCGTTCATAAGTTAAGATGTTAGTAACAATGGTATGGGTTCACACAACGGCATGATGTGATCAATCGTGTGACATTCTAGTTTAGTTAAATTTTTATTCTCCTTATCACAGTCAGATCACTCTAGAGACGAAAGATGAAATTGATGAATAACAAAGTGGACATGACCCCACATATGTATATATCAGCTTCACATTTACACAGTACACAATATAGCAAAAATATGTCGACACCTGACCAACACTATATGGACAAAAGCATTGGGACACCTACACATTACACCTACAGGAGCTTTTCTGACATCCCATTCTAAATCCATGGGCATTAATATTAAGTTGGTGCCCCCGTTGCAGCTATAACAGTTTCGACACCTGCTAGGAAGGCTTTCTAAAAGATTTTGGAGAGTGTCTGTGGGAATTTTTGCCCATTCATCCAGAGGAGCATTGGTGAGGTCAGACAATGATGTTGGACGAGAGGGCCTGGCTCGCAATCTCTGTTCTAGTTCAGCCCAAAAGTGTTTGATGGGGTTGAGGTCAGGGCTCTGTGGGGGCCAGTCAAGTTCTTCCACACCAAACTCACCCAAACATGTCTTTATGGACCTTGCTTTGTGCACTGGGGCTCAGTCATGCTGGAACAGAAAAGGGCCTTCCCCAAACTGTTCCCATGAAGTTGGACGCATACAATTCTCCAAAATTTCTTAATATGCTGAAGCATTAAGATTTCCATTTACTGGAACTAAGGGGCATGGACCAACCCCTGAAAAACAACCCCATAGCATTATCCCTCCTCCACCAAACTTTACACTTGGCACAATGCAGTCAGGCAGGTACTGTTCTCTTGGCATTTGTGAAACCCAAACTCATCCATCAAACATGGCAGATAGAGAAGCGTGGTTCGTCAAACCACAGAATATGTTTCCACTGCTCCAGGGTGCAGTTACACCACTCCATCTGATACTTGGCATTGTGCATTTTGATCTCAGGCTTGTCTGTAGCTGCTCAACCATGGAAATCCATTTTGTGAAGCTCATACTACGCAGTTCTTTTGCTGATGTTGCTTCCAGAGGCAATTTGGAACTCTTTGGTAAGTGATTCAACAGAGGATAGGCACTGTGCGCTTCAGCACTCAGTGGCCCTACTCTGTGAGTTTGCGTGGTCCACCGCTTCGTGGCTAAGCTGTTGTTGCTCCTAGGTGCTTCCATTTCACAATAACAGTACTTATAGTTCACAGGGACAGATTTAGCAGGACAGAAATTTCACATTTCACAAACTGACTTCTGGCAGAGGTGGCATCCTATAACAGTGCTATGTTTAAAGTCACTGAGCCCATCAGTATCAGAACAATTCTACTGCCAGCACTTGTCTGAGGAGATTTCATGGCTGTGTGCTTAATTTGATCCAACTGATCTCAGTAATTAGGAGGGTTGTCGCAGTACTTTTGTCCATATAGTGTATGTATGCTATAATGCCAAAAGTATGTGAACTTCACTCTTAATTATTGACTTCTGGTGTTTCAGCCACACATATTGCTAATATATTCATAAATCAAGCACATCACCATGCAAACTGCATAGACAAATACTGGTGGTATAATGGTTTGTACTGGAGAGGTCAGTGACTTTACACAAAGTCAGTTTGTGAAATTTCTGCCCATCTAGATCTTAAAATGGTTATAAACATTTGTAGAACTATAAGAACTGAGAAAGTGCTCATTTTCATGCTGGTAATGGACAGGGCAGGATTGTTTTGATGATTGATGCAAGCAAAACAAATGTAAGCCAGCTTGCTATCTGTTCTTTAAAGGACTATAAAGGAGCATCCCCTACCTTAATGTTACTAAACTGGCTTCAGAGAAAACATTGGATTGAAGCATTGCTATTTCTGTGTGGTGCAGTGTATGAACTCTTACTTTCTTGATTTTCTTGATTTCTGAGTCATCCTCGCTGGGGGCAGCAGTGGGGTTGGTCTGGATCTTCTCATTGTCTTTGAGCAGCCCAGCAATCTGCCAAAGAAAATGACTGTTAAAAATGGGACAGTAGGCACAACCTCTGCAACAGCTCCACCCGTGCAGCCCTCACCATGTTGATACAGCAGTGGTTCTCAACTCCAGTCCTGGGGACCCCCTGCCTTGGACAGTTTTATGCATTCCCTGCCCTAACACATCTGGTCCAGCTTACACTTAAAGTTTTATAAATTTAAGTTGCTTTCAAGGACAAAGGTTTAGTTGACATGTTCATTCATCTTAGTTACTGAAGTAATGCTGAAAAAGTCTTACAGAATGTTAATCAAAACCTTATTCAACTTAATGATAAACTGTAGCAATATTCATGTAGAGTTGTTGGTTAACATTAAGGTTTCAGTTTAAAATGCTACACTACAGGACTATGTAGGTAATTGAAACTAGAAAGGTTGGAAACAACAATCATAATTTTGCCTCCAAGCTAACGTTGACTTTTCACGATGATATATGTTTTAACTTTTATCTAATGTTTTCTATCTCCATTCTCTCCAATGCCACCTGCAGTCCAAGCTGGGAGGAGCTAGCATGTGAACATGTGAAGTCAACCACCACATCTCTTCAAACACATTATTGGACAGCACCGCATACATGGATGAGAAAGAGAGAGTGAGGTCAATTGTGCTCTCTTGGTTGGAGTTGTGTGCTACAATTTCTCATTAGCTTGAATGAGATTTTTGTCTAAGCTTGTCCAATCTTGCAATAAGAGCTACGAAAGAACACATTCATTGGCAAAGCATGGATTGGATAATTGGTGTAGAACCTTTATGTGCAAGGTTCTTTAAGCTTTAAAAAGGTTCTTCACATTTGCACATCTCATTTATAAAAATGTTTCTTTATGGGAACCAAAAGTGGTTCTTCTTCACTGAAAAATCTTTATTCTTTATTTATATTGCTACTGTTGTATGAGTATTTTGCTATTCGGATCATTTCTTCTTTTGAGTATTGGTTTCTCTCAAGGTTTCTTCCTCTCACTCTTAGTGAATTTTTCCTTTTCACTGTTTCCACTTGCCACTGGTGTGCTCATTTGAGGGTTGCACCCAAATTTCTATAAAGCTGCTTTTTTGTGAATTGAACTAAGTGGAATATGTCACTCCAAACAGCCCTTTTTGGCCCTTTTGTTTTTAGGCAAGTATGAAGAGCTAGACTGGATCAGGTGTGCTGGGGCAGGAAATGCTGGAATACAGTGGGACCCCTGAACTGGAGTTGAGAACCTCAGTGATAAAATGATCAAATCATACAAACATACAGACATTGTGTGGTGCAAAAACTAGTCCCACTGCACTCTCCCAGCTGATACCTCCACAAAAGAAGTGGTTTCCAACGTTCAGGATGAGAGGGAGGATGCAAACTATTAATGTGTTTTGAGGGCTTGCACATTCAAAGACGAGCACTGGCGACACAATGAAGGTGAGGGCTGCCCAATGCAGGCTGAGGTTGAGAGCTCCCATTTACCAGGGCAGCAACTGAAAGAGTTTATTATCATGTTACAGAGCAGGGATGCGACATGTACAATAGAGCTGGGCTCATGCATATTCAGGGAGCCATTTCAGTCGAAGCGCCACATTTGCACTTTAAAGTAAACTGACTATTTGATCTGGTTGATGAAGAATACAGCAGGGATCATAGATCTATTGGAGGGCTGTTTTTTTCTGAGAAGAGCTGCAAAGAGGAGTGCAAAGTAGTCTGGGGAAGGACTCCGTAAGACGAATGCTTCTTTTATGAATCTTTTATCCTTTTTTTATTTGAGAAAGATCCAAACAATAATTCAGTCTCCAAGAGGAATATCAAGGAAATGTTTTGCTTTGGAGAAATATGTAAAAATGGAGTGGTGTCATGTCAGATAAATTTGCTAACACAGACTAATTTCAGGCTGTTCAACATCGAACAACCCTGTTATGGCACTTCGAATGGCAGCCCAGCGTTACCTCAGATTTTAAGCGCTCAATCTCGATCTCCCCATCCTCTATCTGTTGTCGAAGTTGCTTAGCAACTGTTTTCTCGGTCTCCACGATTTGGAGTAGATGGAGATACTTCTGCATGAGAGTCTCATGCTCCGTGGCCAGGTTTCTGTAGCTGCATACACACAGAAGCACAAGAAGTGGAAAACATTATATTATACAACCACTGATGTACATCATTGGATGCACATGAGCATAAAAAACATGGGTTTATCACAAAATACTGGCTCATTGCTTTTCTCATTATTAGAAAGCCACTCCAGCTTCTTAAACTTAACATACAGTTGCTACAGGTCCCTCCAGAGAAAAACAGTAAGGGTACCTTACCAGTTAAGTGTACAGAATGGAGCCCAAGTTTTCAATTCTCTGCATGTGCACTTTTCTAAACAATTAACCATTTGCAAAATTATGACTGACACGCCTCCTAGCCCATCACAATGGCCTCTAAATGTTCCTTCCTCTATGAAGCGAAGGAAAAACTTTGTCAGAACCTCTCAAGACAAACCTTCAGTAAGAAAGACGGTGGCAGTAAATTAGTCAGAATTTTTAGTTTAAGAAGTGGTGGAAAGGAACTTTTAACACCTAACACATCTTGATCATCTGGAGGATGGTGTTATTTTTATTTTAATCCTGAAGCTGAAAAGTTTTGGATTAACCACAGTCACAGCTCCATCCAATGCCAAAACCATTAACAGATAGACTTATGCTGCCTCTAAGGTAAGCTAAACTTTATTTGGGTTACTGCATTAATATTATATGGAGCAATAATTAATGTTACAGAAAAATGTTAAGATCAGTTAGCTAACTAGTTGGCTTTTCCTAAGTGACAGTTAGTTTGATAAATCAATCAGATTAAATGGGACTGTATAGTCCTCACATTTGTGAAAATACTTTTCTTTAAGGTAAACATTAATGTACTTATAAATATGCTATTCTTTGTAGTGCTTAATTAAAGTTTGCTTTTAAACTAAAAAAAGTAGGTAAACCTGGTTGACTGCAAAATCTGAGTTCATATATATAGTTGTACTTATTGAGTTCATGATATTAAATCAACAAATCAATTTATGTTTTGCATTTGTAAGCTGATAACATTGCTCTGACTAGCTCAAGTGTTAGCATTAGCGAATCTGAGGGGGTAGTTTCCATCACTAAAACCTCCTTATTAGGCATGAAAACTTACTGCTGTAATGTCGAGTGACTAAACAATTTCCCTAGTTTGATTACAGTAAACATGGTTTTCAGGATCCATTATTTGCTTTAAACTGGCCTACATGAATATTTTGTCAGTTATTAAACCCATATGTCTGCACTGAACTTTTAAAGCCAATTTATGAAATGAATGGAAAATGCTTCAAATGCACGCATTTGGCTTCTAAATGTTCTTTATCACTGTTGAGCTTTTTAGTCTCTTAGCACAAGTGTTAGGAATTCTACCAGGTAGCCTGGACTGAAGCTCTAACAGAAGTAACAATATTAACTAAGGGTGAATTTTGCAATCGGTCACTTATATAACTATTCTGAAAAGGTAAAGGCTGAGAAATAAGGAGTGCATAATAGGAATCAGCAAAGATCGAAATCGGACGTTTTTTGCTCCAAACGTGATGGTAATGAGCTTATTTATTATTTTGGTGTGAGGCAAGTAAGTGCACTCATGCAGTATTTGCTACACCTGTACCAAAACAAAAAGTTTTCAGACTTGATACATTTTGTCCTACATACATTTTTCCACTGAATATCTCCGGATCCTCTGAATTACAAGGTCATTAAGGAGTTGAAATATGAAAAATGCTACATCCATGCTAATAGCAAGCTACCACACTGTAACATTGCATGAAAATAAGTCTACTATTTAACTTAATTAAGTCTACTTATTTAACTTTAACACTATTATTTAATAACACCAGCTACTCCTAGTGTACTTTCTTACAGCAAAAGTAACTTAAAGGGTAATTCCACAGATTTTTCAGCATTTTTGCCTAATTCGTTGCAATGTAAGTCAAAATCAGAGTGGTCTGATGTAATTAATATAGTTCCTTATAGAGAAAGTTACAGGCTTAGATACAGTGGTGGTGATAGGAACCAAGGGTCGCCATGTCTACAACACAAATATAGCTATTTTACTTATTATCCAAAACCACCAGTGAACCTACACATGTCTTCTGAGGTTTTATATGAAATGTTTATGATGGTAAACTAGTGGAAAATCTTGAAAATTTGTGAGGGACTATTTTGCCTTAGAACACCCTGCATGTACCCTTCCACCATGAATGGATTAAAATGGATTAACAAGATGTTTTAGGCCAAAACTTTATCACAAAGCTATCATAAAACAATGCCTCAGACATCAGGCAGTGTATTTATAACCATTTCATACAGTAATATCACCACCACTGTGAACAGTTTTGACTCAGTGAGTTTCTCTAGAACTCTAGAGTATTTCACATCAAACCACTTTGAATAACTGTGTTTACATTTTAACCATTTAATAATGTAAAAATATTTGAAAATGAGTTGAGTTCCCCATTTAAGTACCTCACTTGACAAAGCTTGCAGGTTTGTTTGGGATATTTTTGTGTGCTTCAATTCAGTGTTCGGCAGTGTTAACTCGCATGTAGCATAAGTTCATATTTCGGCTCCTTAACAACCTCATAATGCAGAGGATCCAGTGGCATTTATACATATTGAGTCTGAAACCATTTCATGTACCACAGGGTGTGATAATATCAACTTTTTGAAAATCCTATTCATTTTTGCCATAGAGAAATCCAGCTTAGTTCCTAATATTTGCTTGATGCAGAATACAGAATGATGACATGACTTCAGTGGTCTATGGGAAGTATGCACTGCTCCTACTGCATTTCATGCATTGAGCCCACACATTGTGAGCATCAGGTAAAAAAAAAAAAAACAGGAAAAAAATAAGAATTATAACTGGCAAAAATATCAGCCATCACTCAATTTGGCTGTAAAGAAGTCAGAATCAAAATCATCCCTAAAAATTAATGAACAGTGCACCTCTTGGGAGAACATCAATCAGTTGTGTTTACCCCACAAATAGGCCAAGAAAGTGGACTGAATCAGTACAAATAGTCTGCAGTGCCAAAGGAGACCAAATCTCTAGGGAATTCAGTCCCAGTTCTGAGACTATGACGCACACACAAACGTGAGCAAAAAACACAACTGTTATTCACTACAGGGTGTCAAACAGGCAAAACTATGTCAATTACGCAAAAAGCTACTAAAATATAGCAGTCATAACATACTATACATTTTACAGTAAACCAGAATCCAACACAGCACTAGCTCATATTATGATAGAAGTATTCGCTGATCAATAAATTGGTGGCACAAAAACACACAGTATAGGAATTACAAACATGTATGCTTGTGAAAAACCTTGAGCTTCTTTTGCTCAGGTGACAAGTAATCTGCGCACACAGCAAAGACCCTGTAACCTGTGAAGTGCTGAGAAAGCTCTGATATAAGCAAACTACAAGGTTATGACCCAATACGCACCACACTGCAGCGAATGTACTCCAGTACAGACAATATTATAGGTTTCTAAAATGTGTATAACATCTATCTAAAACTTAAAAAGACTGTATGGCATGCAACAAACAAACAAACAAACAAACAATGCAACAGATTTTCCATAGCTGGGTTTATACTGTTCATTCTGGCCTACGAAAGACTTTTGTCTAAGACACACAGATGTGACAGCAATATAAAACTACATTATACAAACATCACATACATTACCTAATATAAGCAGATGGTTTTTTGCAATAAGGTGTTTTCCCTAACTAATAGCATTGTGGTGTTGTAAATTCCATAGGTATTGTACTTTGCAACACATACAATGCCTGCAAAGCAAATTGAAAACATAATCCAGCTACTAATCTACTAATCTAGTTAAAGCCATTGTTTATTTCCATATTGTAGTCTGACAACTTGTGTGTGTTTGTGCTTTGTGTGATACTAAGGTGTTCTCAGAGAATTCAAACCAAAGACCAACACTAAAAATAAGCAAAACTCCCAACGGTACCCTGAAGCTAATTATAGATAATGAGATGTGGAATCTGTCCACTAATCAAAAAAACTCTATTGTTCTCAGCACAGTGCTACACTTTGATCAGTGCACAAATGAGAATCTTTACCTTGAACATGAGATTTTTGTCTGGTTCACTAAAATCGTACAGTCAAACTGACAGAAAACATAATTATCCTTATTTATACATCTTACTGAATGAACATGAAAAGGACCAACCAGCTAACAAATGAACAATCATAAACTATGAGCAGGTGAAGGGTTTTAAATGGGAAAAGACTAGGGATGTATGATGATATTAGAGTTATATTGCTTAAAAATGATCATCATTGGACAAATGTTTAGATTTGACTCATTTTTCAAATCAATATCAGATTATATATTTATTTTACTGTGAAAGGGCAGAATGTTTAGGTGACACTGCTCTAAAATGTCAGCATTTTATTCACTTTACTGCATACCCTTAAGAAATAAATGCTCTATTTCCAGGTAGATTTAGTCCCAATTTTAACATTTTATATGTTTATGTGTCGGCATCGGCAGATCTGTACATGAAAAATATCAGATATCAGCATCGACCCACAATTCTATCAGCGCATCCCTAGACAGAACAATCAACAATGCTGACATGATCAGAACCAAGTGTAATTTCAGTCTGTTACATTTATGACATCACCTGTACTGCTGGATTGATCACACATCTGATGTTTGAAATTAATCATTTTATTTCAGATTAAGAGTGCATCAAAGAGAGAAGAATAGAGCCTAACAACAATGTTGCCAATTTGGCTGGTATTGGTTGTTTCCCAATGTATGTAGATCAATCAAAGTTTTGATAACTGATAAGATGTGGGGAGAGGATAGTTAACCCTCGCCAAAATAATGCCAAAACCAAAGCATTTTCCCTGCCAAATTGGGCAGATTTTGGTTGAATCTGCCCATTTTGGTGGGGAAAAATGTGCTTTGGTGGTGGACAAAACTTGAGCTGGTTTCATAATTGAAATTATTTTAGGCGTTTCTCATATGTCTGACAGCGATAATAAAAATTCAGTGCCATCTAGCAACAAATTAAATGCTTATCTGCAAATTTCTCAAAGCCACGACATCAGCGATCATACCCAGAAACTTACTGATGCCACATTGGTTAAATGCTATATATTTAGTACTACAGCTGAAATGACCTTAAACTGTTTTTGATGTGTTTGTTTTGGCATTTTTTCATGCATTTTAGTGAGTTTTTTATTGAAGCAGTCTGACAATCCTGCCTAACAAACATCTGTCACTACGCTGATCAATGCTAGATGTACTAAAAAGTTCCACTGCAATTCTATAAGTTCCTGAGGTACTTTTTTGATCTGGTATTTTTCTGCAACTCATGTTGTTTTGTGGAAATGTGCTTTTACATTTACTTGAGTCATTCTTTCCCTAAAGTAACAACATTTACACTCGAGTATGGGTTTAGGCTATTCTACCCACCTCTCTCTAACAGACCAGTTCCCAGTAGCAAGGTCTTAAGAAGCATCTACATGTTGCAGCTAGGTTCTGATTAGGGTGAGAACTAAACCGAAGGGCAAAAGAGTTGGTCACCTAACTTTAAACCTGAGATTTATTCTGGCTTACCTGGCGTGTGTTATCGCTGCCACCCATTCGTCGCAGTCCTTCACATCTTCAGTGCGGAGCTCCAGAGCTTTCTGGTTCTCATGATTGAAGCTGATTGTGAAATAGTACTGAAACACACAAAGAAGAAGAAGATTTTACTCAAAGACAATAGAAAATACAATGTATTTCCAGAACTGTGAAAGCCGTTTATTTAGAAAAAAATTCAGTGATTATTATAAATGCTATGTTTTAAAATTAGAATTATTATTGATGAAGTTATGAAATAACTGAACTTTAGGAGGAGGACCACGCTTGAAGCTCCTCCTCCTTCCAATTTCTTACATTCTCAGAACAAAAAGGTACTATACAGTTACTGGATTGGTCCATCTTCAGTACCTTTAGTTTGGGAACACAATTGTACCATAATCCATTGCAATTATACATTTTTTTTAACTGCATTGACTCCACATACCCTGTCTTGTCTCCAGGCTTTTTATTTTATGAAAAGGTACACATATGTACCTTTACCCTAAGAAAAAAAACGTTTCCGTTTTTTACAGAAATCTACAGGGATGTTTTTCACGCCTATAAAGTTTAGTCTTAGAAGTTGGTTATATTTTCTGCTTCTCATGATCCAAGTAATGTCAAACACATTCAATAATATTGAGAAAACACATTTATATTAAGGATTAAAATATTAGCTTTTTCAGTTCACAGCTTCTCGTTATCGACACCACACGCATCCTGATGTGCAAAAAGCTAAAACATGTGGCTAATAACTATCCAAACTTAATGGTTCTGTAATGAAAGGGGCATGTAGGCAGGCTGCAGGTACTGAGTAGCTTTTTAGGGGCAATCCAAATCTCATAGTCATCACAGGCAGGGGTCAGAAAACAGGCAGGCAGGGACACACTAGGCAAATTCAAAAGACAAAGCCCAGGAGACAAAACAAGGGTTTAACAAAGGAAAACATAACACAACACAAAGAAATCACAGCTCAGACAGGTTTGTGACACTAGAAGGGCTGGAGAAATGGTTTTCCATGTAAGTGCAATGTTGAAAGAAGCATATGATGAGAGATCTTTCAGTTATAATCATTAGGCTACAAATGCATGCATTCAATAACAGAGACAAAACACTTCACCAGAGTCTCCACTGAAAAGAAAGTGAGTGGGATGGGCAGTAAATATTCTGCGGTATAACGTCAGATATCAGGCACTCTTGTAACCTATGACTTAATGCATTAATGTTTCAATAATTATGTAAACTAAATAATGAAACAACTGAATAATGTAACCAGTAGTGTTTTATTGCACTATAAGATCAGTGCAAAACACTGGTGAATATTCATCTTCATTCTCCTATAGTCAGCCACAGTACACTTAATTTACAATGAGAACTTGGTGGAAACTTATAACTAAGGTACATTCCTTTTTTTTTGCAATTTATGTTTGGAGTTAGTTTCCCAATTGTGGAATTAAGCCTAATCATGGATTTAACTGCAGTGCCAATGGTGAATCTCCATTGGAAATCCATTTTAGTCTAGTCTTAGGCATAGTATGAGTTTTGCATACTGACCCTTAAAACATTAAACACTTTAGATGACAGATTAAGGGACAATGTACACTGTTGGCTAAAACGCTGCAATGTGAGCATTTAGCAGTGCCATTGCATAACATTAGTAAATTAACACATCAGCTAACAATTCAGGCCTGGCATCTGGGGGTCATTTAGTGGGGCAATGCCCCACCATCCAATTTTCATGCCCCATCAGTGGGGCATTTTGCGACCGTTACTGTGAGCTAATGTATAAACTCACGGATATAAGCAGAAGAACACGCTTATAGACAATATTGCATCCTAAACTATATCTGTAGTAATTTAGGGGTTAAACCAGGTCTCTAACAGTTTCTTTTTCTTTTATTGTTTACTACTTTTTATAGTAAACATCCAGGGAGGCTCTGCACTGCCCACTCCTCCCAACTCTATTCACATGAAATGGTTTGGTCCTACCCCCAAACCTGGTGCTGGTACTTGCTAATAGCATGTGAGGAGGCCGGTAGAGCGTCATGTCACCCAGTTTATCACAAAGCAAGGTGAGTGTAGTCTGTGAATGGTGGAAATTAGTTTAGTCGATAGGCAACTACTGCTCTGCTAACATTTGCTAGCTAGTTAACTTACTAGAAAATTCTGAGTGTTTACATTTTGCTACTCTTTAATTTGAGATTTAATCAACGCAGGTAAACTTTTAGCAGGCTGTTCATACTGTAATGCTCTGTGCTATTAAAGCAGACATACAGCTGGCTTTACGATTTGTGTGCTTTATTAAGGACTGTATCAGCCACAGCCACGCCATACAAATAAGCAAGGATAATGGCTAGCTCTGCCTCAGCTCAAGTCTGCACTCTCTTGTTTCCAAGCTAGTTTCTCCTGTTGTACAGGCAATAAACACAGAACAAAACAGTTAGTTCGCCTTTACAATAAGAGTCCTTATTGTATAAACTCAGAGAAATAAATGCTAGAACACACTTACCCAAAACTAACATGCAGATAATTTTTTGAACGTTACGATACTAAATCAGTTGTCCCTGCCCCTGCCTGGTGCCAGGCTCAACAGATGCAGCGTCAGACTCAGCTGCCCTGTCTCCCCATCCCCATCTCCCTAACAAACCTGCCCAACTGCCAACTGAAGAAGGAGGTGAACAGCAGTTGGCATAAATGCAGGTGGTCTGCAGGATTTTTTTTTACATTTATTTTAAGTTCATTAATGTTAGCAATTTTCCATTAAAATTACATTTAAACTGTAAAAGTTGGCCTTTAGCACATTTCTTACAAAGGGTATCAATCTTGCATCAAATAGCCAGTTCCATTGTAAATAGTTCCATTGTATGCAGAAAGTTGCATGCATGTCTGCACAGTGTAAAATTTTCAGGGTTGCCATGGCCTATGGTGGTGGGGTGGTGGGGTGGTGGGGCCCAGTGTGATATCTTTTCATAGGGCCCAGATTCCCTGGTGACCCCCCTGCACCAACCCCCTGACCCCCACCCCACCAGTTTTTGGATGCCCTACCCATGATTTTGTTCTAGAACCAGGCCTGTAGCAAATCATGTATTTATTTAAAAATTGCAGAATTTTAATATCATAGATATATCATGCAGAGCAACACCTGGTGCTGCTTACTGATGTATTGGTGTAGTCAATCAACTAGGATCTGCTTTGCTAATTCAAACAGGAATTCAGCAGCAGGATGCTGCTATCACATTGAGGAGGAATTCGTAGCAGGGCCAAAAGATAACTGGCATGTTTTGTCTCTTTTTTTGCCAAAATCAGTTTATGACCTGTAATTTGAGATTGCTATTATTTTATTAACTTTCCAGAAAATCTTTTTTTATGATTATGTTTGTTGCTCCAAATTGAGTTGGGTTGGCTTCCTGAAATGTTGTTAGACTGCAATAGGTACTGACTACAGAGCTTCAAAGCATCAACCACTTAGGTGGTTAGTTTCTGTGCAGCATCTGTTGGATGAGGAGTCCCAAGGCCAGCGATCGTCATCATTATTACGTCAGCACAATGTTATTAGATTAGACACTCCCAGACTCTCAGTCTCACAGGATTCTGGTTTGATGTCATAGTCATTTTTTGCCAACACATGCCAGGGTCTGTAGTACGTCTGTCGTTGTTGGAGCTCCCAGGCCAAGTGACTGAGAACAAACAGTATGAGGACTCCATATTTTCTTTAGTCTCAAAGCGGAAATTGTCCCCACAACCACGACTGGGATTTTGAACAATTAATCAGGATTGATATAATGAACTAAGCCAAAGACAATAATCCTTGAGACCTCAGTTTTTACCCAAGTAAATTAGTATTACACATCCCAAGGCCAATGGATGATTCTGTGTAGGGGTGTCACGATACACATTTTAATATTCAATTTTTATTTTATTGGGAGACCATATGCTTTGTGGATCGAATACAATTAGATTTCATTGTATAAAATGCATGATAATAGGAATGGTTCTTGTAGTTTTATTTAACACACTGTATTATATCTGAGAAAGTAATAACCATCAGTGTAAAAAAATCCACTGCACAGCTCTCAGAACTGGAGAAATCTGATTTAGTTAGCATGGATGGTTGACTAGCCAAGCTGTTTGAAGTGGTGAGGATTCTCAGTCAAGCACAATAATGACAGTGACAGAGAGACAACACTGCCTATGGTGAGGATCAAATATATGTGCTAATACCTCAGATATGTTAACTCATTTGTGAATACATCCAACAACCAGTATACAACCAATACAACCAGTTTATTTCAAGTTTCTGGCAAAAAATGCTCTCAAGCTAATTGTCATTGTCACCTATGTATACAGTCTTTATCTGTTCATTAGCAGATATATAGGCAGAGCCGACTATAAAACTATATGGTATTGTAGGACGGTAGGACTTTTTTACTGCATGACGTATTACATCTTAATGATATGTAGGACATTGTGTGCTACTTGAAAGGACAAAAATAGAAAAGAAATGCTAAAACAAAAGGACCATTAGGTTTTTCATCTAACAGCCAAAGGGGCTTACAAATAAAAAGAAGAAGTAATTCAGTCAAATTCATGGTCATGTGATCACAACCACAGCCTTAGCATTTAATCAAACTGTTATACAGTTAAGGGGGGATTGCACTGATTTAAATTTAATCAAATTAAACATTAAAAAGGCACCAGCTAATCAGGTAATGTGCTTGGTCAGTCACTTAATGCCCAAAGTGTTGAGCTCGATGATGTTGCTGTTTGGTCAGTGCTAAGAAAACATACGCTGGCAAGCATAACTAGCACCTGGGCACAGAATGTGCAAGTCTTTGTACACTGGTGCTGTTGGAAGGAGACTGGGGGTTGGGGGGGGTGAAGGAATCCTGTATAACAGTACAAAAACATGAACTGTCAACAGTTACCTTTGGATAAAAACAGCAATAGAAGATAAGCAGTGAAAAAAGCACCTCACTGAACAGTCCCTCAGCAGTCTGGACTTGATAAGGGAGGGCTTGATTTGGGAAAGATCTGTCCGCATTGCGCTAAAACACTCCCTGTCCGCTGCTTCACTTGATGGTGGGCCAGTAGGCCTCTTTGAGAA